ACAAGAGAGGAGATTCCATCTGAACATGAGGAAGAACTTCCTGACTGTGAGAGCCGTTCAGCAGTGGAACTCTCTTCCCTGGAGTGTGGTGGAGGCTCCTTCTTTGGAAGCTTGTAAGCAGAGGCTGGATGGCCATCTGTCAGGGGTGCTTTGAATGCAATATTCCTGCTTCTTGGCAGAATGGGGTTGGACTGGATGGCTCAGGAGGTCTCGGAAGATTCTATGATTCTAATGCTGCTATGCTCTAACAGCGATGCTCTTTGCTATGGTGGAATAGCTATTTACTCAAGGTTTATGTTTTGCTCTCTCATTTGAATGAAGAAGCCTTATTCTGTGTTACTTGCAAGGACTATGTAAGTTTTTTGCACTGTTTGATTTTGTATGCAACACTGCAAGTTTATGCATCTGCTGATACGAGTCAAGTTTTTCTGTTCCTTTTTTTCCTCTTGCCTGTGTGTCTTTTGATTGAGACTTGGCTAAAACACGCTCTGCGCAACAAGGTCTGCCTATTGGTTGTTGTAGGTTTTTCGGGATTTATGGCCATGTTCTAGAGGCATTCTCTCCTGACGTTTCACCTGCATCTATGGCAAACATCCTCAGCAGTGAGGATGCTTGCCATAGATCAGTGGTTCTCAACCTTCCTAATGCCATGACCTCTTAATATACTTCCTCGTGTTATGGTGACCCCCCCCAACCATAAAATTATTTTTGTTGCTACTTCATAACTGTCATTTTGCTGCTGTTGTGAATCGTAATGTAAATATCTGATATGCAGGATGTACGTTCATTCACTGGACCAAATTTGGCACAAATACCCAATATGTCCAAATATGAATACTGGTGGGGTTGGTGGGGGATGGATTGATTTTATCCCGTGGGAGTTGTAGTTGCTGGGATTTATAGTTCACAAACAATCAAAGAGCATTCTGAACTCCACTAATGATGGAATGGAACCAAACTTGGCACACACAACTCCCATGACCATCATAAAATACTGGAAGGGTTTGGTGGGCATTGACCTTGAGTTTTGGAGTTGTAGTTCACCTACATTCAGAGAGCACTGTGTACTCAAACAATGAGAGCTCTGGACCAAACTTGGCATGAATTCCCACTATGCCCAAATGAGAACACTGGTGGAGTTTGGGGGAAACAGACCTTGACACTTGGGAGTTGTAGTTGCTGGGATTTATAGTTCACCTACCATCAAAGAGCATTCTGAACCCTACCAATGATTGAATTGGGCCAAACTTCCCACACAGAACCCCCATGACCAACAGAAAATGCTGTATTTTTCTGATGGTCTTTGGCGACCCCTCTGACACCCCCTCGCGACCCCTCCGGGGGTCCAGACCCTGCCATAGATGCAGGCGAAACATCAGGAGAGAATGCCTCTAGAACATGGCCATATAGCCCGAAAAACCTACGACAACCCAGTGATTCCGGCCATGAAAGCCTTCGACAATACATAGGTCTGCCTATGTTTTTGCCGATGGGATATGCTCTGTATTGCTCAGGGATTCAAGTTCCTAGTTTCATGGAGTTCCTTTGACTCTTTGTTCCTGTCTTCCTTTGTATCTGATGGACTAAATTGGATTACTTTTACTGTGGATTTACTTTTGACTGCTTTGGCTACATATATCCCTACATAAACTGCTTGCTGATTTCACCCAGCTGGTGTTTTGAGCCAGAGGAGTACGACAGATTCGGAGTGCCGGTCGCGGCCAGAGAATCAAGCCAAACAAGTCGGAACCTGCAGACTCTTTTTTATTAAATTCTCCCAGTTCATCTGTACAGAAAGAAAAAAATGCACATTATGTTCAGTTATCAGTAACAGTTCCAAAATTACACAGCATGGACATGGTAAAAACAAAGGATGGCCAAGTATTTTTTGTACACAGAAAAGAAGGGAAGGAGGGGGGAATCAATTTACAAAAAGAAGAAGACCTTCTTGTTAATGTTATGTTTGCTTTAAAATAGGTATGGCAAACTTCGGCCCTCCAGGTGTTCTGGACTTCAACTCCCACAATTCCTAACAGCCTACCGGCTGTTAGGAATTGTGGGAGTTGAAGTCCAGAACACCTGGAGGGCCGAAGTTTGCCCATGCCCGTTTTAATGGTCAGGTAACCATTTGCTGTCTCTCTCGTTGCTGCAGGAGGGCCCTCTCTCTGGCACACGTGCGGCACATCCCTCATTCCCAAAACGCGCCAGTCTTGGTCAATCTGCAATGGGAAAAATCACAGTTATGAGCTCCAGAACGCGATGGAAACGGAGAAAGGTCAGCTGGCCAAACTGGGATCGAGTAGCCAAAAGCAGTCCACCAGCGACGGCGGCAACAAAATGCTGGTCCCGCAGAGTGAGAAGATATGGCAAGAAAATAAACCTCTGCTTCCTAAATATGACCCTTCTTCTATCAACATGATCCTCCTCTGTTATCTTAGTGATGCACCATTGGAGTGCATGAAAGAAGAGCGCATAGATGGGAGGATTTGGGGGGAAAGCGGCTGCTAAGAGAAGGCACTGTGCCTCCGACGCTGTGAAACGTCTCAAAGGGGAGATACTAACTCTCCAAAGGGTCAAAGCACCACTTCTTCATGCAGAGCTCCAAATATCCTATGGTGCGCATCTCCAAAGCATCCCATCGTTCCCATTCTTTTAAAAAGTCAAAGGGTTCCTTCTTTCTGGAAGGAGCAATTCCAACGCTCGGCACCAGGATGCCGGAGCGAAATAACGAAAGCCAAAAGCACGACGGGTTCTTCAGAGAGAAGAACCAAAGCAAAACAGAAGCACGACAGATGGAAGCTCGTACTTTCTGATTGCTTCCCAAGCATCTCAACGGCTGTGCTCAACCTTTTCTGACTCCTCAAAGCAAGAGTTGTTTCTTGTGTCTTACCCTAAGAAGGAGGCAGGAAAACTCAATGCAGTGCAAGTATCTCTACTACTGGGCCCACATAGTGCACTCACACTTCTTGGAAAATTTAAGCTTTTTCTTGAGCATGGCTAGCATCCGAGGAACACAAACGAAGCTTTACCTTGAGAATGTGTGCAAAGGTGTAGTTGCAAATGAATCTTAGGTGATGCAGTGCAAGTATCTCTACTACTCATAGTGCACTTACACTTCTTGGAAAATTTAAGCTTTTTCTCGAGCATGGAACACCATCCGAGGAACACAAACGAAGCTCTACCTTGAGGATGCGTACAAAGGTATAACTACAAAAGAATCTTAGGTGATGCAGTGCAAGTATCTCTGCTACCGGGACCTCATAGTGCACTCATACTTCTTGGAGAAGCTAGAGCGCTCTCTCGAGCATTGATAGCATCCAAGGAACACAAACGAAGCTCTACCTTGAGGGTGTATACAAAGGTGTAGTTGCAAAAGAATCTTAGGTGATGCAGTGCAAGTATGTCTACTTCAGGGCCCTCATAGTGCACTCACACTTCTTGGAAAAGACAGAGCTCTCTCTTGAGCATGGATAGCATCCGAACTCAAACGAAGCTTTACCTTGAGGATGCGTGCAAAGGTGTAGTTGCAAAATAATCTTAGGTGATGCAGTGCAAGTATCTCTACTACCAGGCCCTCATAGTGCACTCACAGTTCTTGGAAAAGCTAGAGCTCTCTCTTGAGCATGGATAGCATCCAAACTCAAACAAAGCTTTACCTTGTGGATGCGTACAAAGGTGTAGTTGCAAAAGAATATTAGCTGATGCAGTGCAAGTATCTCTACTACCAGGCCCTCATAGTGCACTCACACTTCTTGGAAAAGCTAGAGCTCTCTCTCTCAAGCATGAATAGTATCCGAGGAACACAAATGAAGCTTTACCTTGAGGATGCATAAAAAGGTGTAGTTGCAAAAGAATCTTAGCTGATGCAGTGCAAGTATCTCTACTACCAGGCCCTCACAGTGTACTCACACTTCTTGGATAAGCTAGAGCTCTCTCTTGAGCATGGATAGCATCCAAGGAACACAAATGAAGCTCTACCTTGAGGATGCGTACAAAGGTGTAGTTGCAAAAGAATCCCAGGAGACCTGAAAGCAGCCACCTGTGCTCAGTATAACTCTACGACCAATGTGACATTCACTCCCAGAGCAAGGGAAGGCAATTGTGGTTGGACAAAGACACCTCGTGCCTCTTAACAGGGTGATCTCCTTCTCTTTGTCCAGCATCTTTTCTCAAAGGGACACCGCTTCTACAACACTGTTTTCCTCCTGATAAACTGCAGAGTTCTGGACCTGGTCTGTCCCTACGCTGCCTCCCTAAGTCTCCAAATACTTTGCAAATTGAGAGTCCCTCCCCAGGCTTTTTCAGTAGAGTAGCAACATCTCCCTCTTGGTCTGTGTTTTGGGGTGCACTGCAGATGTGTTTGCATAAGAGGCAGGATCACAGCCACCAGAGTCTAGGCCAGGATCTTGGGAGGAGAGATCCTGCTAAAAAGGAGAGACTAAGAGCCCTGGAAAGATACCAAGATACCCTTTGGGGAGATGATGGCACAACTGATTTTTGGAGGATTTAATAGTACCAGGAATAGGGGAGATGGAGGCTTTGGGTTCATGATTCACTTCATTCCAACAATATTCAGGTGGTCAATAAATAGAAGCAAAGGCAGGTCGACTCGGCCGGGTTCCTGTTCACATGCCCTTGGCCCAGCGGTCATCCAAAGCCATGCACAAACCTTCCCAGTTTGCCATCTATCGAGCTATATATATATAAAAACATGACACTGCATTGCTCCCTTCCCGGTCGGATGAAAACAAGACACAGTTCTAGGCTTCCTGAAGCTAAAATCTTTGCATCTTTGAGCAACGTTTTCAAGAGCAGCAGGAAATATTCACAGTACTGGGACGCAAGACGGCCTGTCATCGTCATTGTCCCCCGTCACAGAGAGATGGTCCCTTTCCAGAAAGGCTTTGACAAAACGAATGCGGAGCTGTCAATTGCAGAGAGAGGAGGGGATGTGGGGATTGCTCTTAAGCTTTGCTTCTCCAACTCGCAGGGGCAACCGTGCCTTAACCATTAATTCAATAGGCTCCCAGCTATACACACCAATAATACCTCCGGTGCTATATTACCTGTGTTTTCTTCCTGTTTTCCCAGTGCCACCCAGTCAGGTTAAGAATGAGCCCATACTCAAACAAAGGTGTGTGATTTTTGCGAAGACATTGTCTCCATTCTACTTTGTACTCATTCTTTCTCTCCTTGCCATTTCGTGCTGTCCTCCCCAAATACTCACAATCCCTTGAACGGTATTCTAAAAAGGCCAGAAGTCTCCCTCCAGCTCTTAATATTAGATTACACCCTTGTTGTGTCAGGGATAATTTTGCTTAGTAATTTGCACATAACTTGATGTAACTTTCCAAACTTTCCCAGGGTGCCCAAAGTCCCAAATGACTTACTCGCCACACACCGCCTTCCCTTGGGACACAGACTACTATTTCTCCTTTTCCTGCAAAGGGAACCTAGACAAGCGCTTGGCTTTATGAATCCCAAAGATGAAACTTATAAAAGGCCCTTTTTGGCAAAATAAAAATGGAGGAAGAAGCTCAAAAAAGAAAGAAGGAAGGAAGGAAGGAAAAAGAAGACACACAAACAGAACGATGGCGACAGAATGATGGATTCCAGAGGCAACTTTTTGCAGACTGGTTCTAACAACTGGGGATGGTTGTCGAGCCAATGTCCAAAGCAAGGCGGGTGAGAGACCCTTCCCATCCATCCCTTTTGCCCAACCACACAAAATGCTTTTCCCCCGACACACACACACACGCAAAGCCCGCTGCCCAACACTACTACGCCTGGAAGCGATCTTTTTAAAAATTTACTCCTCGAGCTGCAGGTTGTCAGTCTGGTTTGGAGAGAAGGCAGTTCCAAGAGTACGAGAGAAGAGAGAGAGAAGAGAGAGAGAGAGAGAAAGACGTGTCTACAGGCAGGCAAACGACAGTCGCTAACGATGGGGTCACGAAGCTGCGTGCCAACGCGTCCCGAGGGTGAGGCGCCGTGGATGAGACGGGAACCCCGCTGGCACGCGCCGCTCTTCGTCGCCTTCGCTCGCATGGCTCTCCGGAGAGGGCTGGCGGAGGTGGGCCGGGAGACTATACAGAGGAGGGCTGTACAAACGGGGCAATGACGGGCAGGGCCTTCCTTCCTTCCATCCATCTATCCTCTTCCCTCCACGGCGGCGGCGACCAAAGCAGGCTCTACCTGTCCTTCAGCTCTCGTGTCACTCGCTTGGTGATGCGCCCACACATCAGGCCGATGAGGAAGAGGACGCAGATGCCCACGCTGATCACCGACAGGATGTAGTTCTTGGAGGGGGAGGTCATCACTTGCATGGCGAGGTCCGAAAAGCCTTCCGCGGGAGCAACCTAGGAGGGAGGAGAGGCAAGCCGGCCCTGAGCCAAAGCAAAAAGGAAGGCATCCCTACCAAGCAGACACAAGGACATTTGAGCCGGGATATTGCAATGCACTCTCCACGGGGCTGTCCTTGAAGTGCAGAATGCTCCAGCTAGGCTTCCAAGCAAAGCAATTTCCTGGAAAGACTAAACTCTTTGGGTTGTTGCAGGTTTTTCCGGGCTATATGGCCATGTTCTAGAAGCATTTTCTCCTGACGTTTCGCCTGCATCTATGGCAAGCATCCTCAGAGGTTGTGAGGTCTGTTGGAAGTAGGAAAAATGGGTTTATATATCTGTGGAATGACCAGGGTGGGACAAAGGACTTTTGTCTGCTGGAGCTAGGTCCTTTGTCCCACCCTGGTCATTCCACGGATATACAGACTGCCAATGTGGGGGCTTGTCTGATATCCTTGGGGAGTGAGTTCCAGAGTCGGTGAGCCACCATAGAGAAGGCCCTCTCCCTCGTCCCCAACAATCGTGCCTCCGAAGGAAGTGGGATTGAGAGTAGGGCCTCTCCAGATGAACGAAGAGATAGTGTGGGTTCGTACACAGAAATGCGGTCATGCAGGTAGGCGGGTCCCAAACCGTTCAGGGCTTTGTAGGTAAGAACTAAACACACAGATGTCTATAATATGCAGTAGAATAAGGGTTACCTATATGCACAGCTTTATGTTAAGTATGCATTATTAACCTAATTTGAAGCCTTAGTTATACTTGAGAATCTTAGCAAGTTTGGAGTAAAATTATGTGAGTTATACCACTTAATATGTTATGAGTATGCTTTGTGAAAAGTGGATAAATTGAATACCTATATGAGAAGTATTACACTACTTTGTAGGTAAGAACCTGCACCTTGAATTGGGACCGGAAAATGAACGGCAGCCAGTGGAGCTCCTTAAACAGGGGGGTTGACCGCTCCCTGTAAGTCGCTCCAGTTAGTAACCTGGCTGCCACCCGTTGAACCAATTGAAACTTCCGAGCCGTCTTCAAGGGCAGCCCCACATAGAGTGCATTACAGTAATCCAATCTGCTTTATCACAGTTTAGCCGGTACTGCACCACCTGATATCCATCAGGAAGTAGCGGCCAGAAATATGCCCCCCCCCCCTCCAGTTCCCATATCTTTAACCTTAGAGAAGGATAAAGCAGGCCGCGTCACGCTCACCTTGGCGGCATAGCTCCACATTTCAATCCGGTCGTTAAGGCGCTTCTTACACTCCGGCTGTAGCCGCACACGCTTGTCCTCCAGGGCCTCCATCAAACAGGACATCTCTGTCAGAAATATTGAAAATTAAGTAGGCATTTCTAATTACAAAAATATGAGTCAAGCACTAAAGGGGTTAAATGGATGCAAGGACTCAGCAAAAACTGTAGTTCAATATAAGCAGGTGTGTCTGCAGTGTCTGACTCAATGCTATGCAATGCTGGGATTTGTAGTTTGGTGAGGCATCAGCATTCTCTTGGCAGCCACCACAATCCTAAACTACATCCCCCAGGACTCCAAAGCATTGAACCAAGGCAATTAAAGTGGATTCATTCTACAGAATACATGCTCTCCAAGGTTTTCTTTCCCACTGCTGGAAGTTTTGGTGTTCTAAAGAAGGAATTCTAAGCAGGCAGCCATTGGAATGCACACCTTTTTTTTGGCCAAATGACAAAAAGTGCACTTTTCGGGTTGCTATGGGTGGCCATGTTTCAGTAGCATTTTCTCCTGACTATTCGTTTGCATCAATGGCAGGCACAACCTATACGGATGCCTGCCATAAATGCAGGCGAAACGCCAGGAGAGAATGCTACTGGAACATGGCCACACAGCCCGAAAAAGCAACAGCAACCCAGTGATTCCAGCCATGAAAGCCTTCTATAACACAATGCCCTTTTTTGTAGTTGTGCATTACATTTGTCAAAAAATACTTTATTTTGGTTTCTGGGTTTTGAAAATTGGGGTGTGCATTAGATTCGATGTCGTGTTAGACTCAAGTCAATACAGACACTTGTATATTTGCCTGACTGACTGAGCCATTTGCAGAATAATCAGAAAAGCGGATTTCTTTATTTATTTATAGTGGCAGGAGTGAACCAAAACCATTGTATTGCATTAAAAACAAGCAAACAAACAAACAAACAAAACACAAAGAAAAGTGGATTATTTGGGGGGAAATAAATATGCTCTTCCCCTTGGCAACAAAACATACACGATCACCCTGAAATGTTGCAGAAAACATGCTCGTAGCAAAATGCTTGGTCTGCACTTGTGCCCAGGTGTCTAAGAGGCATTCAGGACCAGCCTTGGTAGGTTCCAAGTGTTTCTTGGGCCCCACAAGTAACACAAGACTTACGTCTCCCCCGTCCCGGCGGGATGGCCGCGCAATGGTGCTTGATGTCCAGGGCACAGGCCGTATGGAGGACGGGGTCAACAAAGATGTCCGCTTTGCTCTCTTTCAACATGTTCAGCACCTCCTGGGGAGCAAAAGATACCACAGAACTATGAAGACCATGACATAATTCACCCCCTCCAAAAGCTACATCAGCCAAAAGCAGGCCCACACTTTGCACTGAAATTATAATAAGTTTATATTTCTTAAAATTGTTTTTTTGCACTACAAATAAGTTATTTGCAGTGTACATAGGAATTCATTCATTTTTTTCCAAATTATAATCCGGCCCTCCAACAGTTTCGAGGGACTATGACCTGGCCCTCTGTCTAAAAAGTTTGAAAGCCCCTTGCCATACACTATTAGTAAGTTTCTGCAGGATGTTATTGCATGCAGCTACTTTATGCTTGGTGTTCATAAGTGTTTCCTAAATGTTACTGTTCGATCTAAGGTGACGCTGAGATATTTAGGGTGGGAACAGTGTTCGAGCTCATGGCCTTCCCAGGTAACTTTCAGTTTCCTGTTGGCTTCAGGCTTCCGTAGACGGAAAGTACACCCTTGTGTCTTGGCAGGGTTAGGCTTCAGGTGGTTCTCTTTGCAGTAGCCGGAGAGATCTTTCAGGGCATTCAGAAGTTGGTTTTCAACTGATTCAATTTCAGCCACTAAAAATGATGTTGATGCCATATATGGCTGCCAAGGTTACAGCCTGAGGACAGCAGAAGGATAGTAGAGGCAAAGATGAAGTCCTTTGGCCACAGAATGAGAAGTCAGGAAAGCTTGGAAGAGAGAATGATGCTGAGGAAAAGGAAGAAAAAAGGAAGAGGAGCCAACCAAGGGCAAGATTGGTGGATGGCATCTTTGAAGGGACTGGCTTGACCTTGAAGGAGTTGGGGGTGGCCACGGCCAACAGGGAACTCTGGCCTGGGCTGGTCCAAGAGGTGTCAGGGGTCAATTTCTGACGGCATGAAGACATCACAAATTCCCTCCGTGACATCCTGACTGAATCATCCTGGCTGAATCAATTCTCGCTCTGTGACATTTTGAAGCCAGCAGAAGGCGCTGGAAGCCTTGTATTGGAACTTGTGAAGCAACAAGCTCTAATAAGGAAACTGGGAAGAGGGGGGAGATGGACAGGAAAGGTGTATAAAAGGAAGTGGTGGTGGGAAAAAGTCAGTAGTGTCTTTCTGTGCTGCAGAGATACAAGCAATATATCCATTTCAAAGCAAAAACGGCTTGTGAGTGGTTATTTAATATTGCTATATCGATCCCACAGTCTTACAAGAGGTCACTAAGATGCGGAAGTGACTGAACGAATAAACAACAACACTTGGTTCTATCATAAAAACATGGGAAAAGTGTTTTAAATGCCAAAACTTTGTTTTTGCAAGACATCCGGCAGCACATTTTGCTCAAGTTTTTCAACCTCAATTCATAGAGAAATGAAGGGAAGAAATAATAACACTAAGAAATTAAATAAAGCAACAAATAAATCGATAACACAGTTAAAAACACTAGCACCAAGGCAGTCCACAAACTAATTGCCAGGCAGTTATTCCAATATAGTTGTAATATATTCACTCCTGGATGCACCCGTTGCCAATCTGGCTGTCGGTAGACTGTTAGGAATTGTGGGAGCTGAAGTCCAAAACACCTGGATGGAGGGCCGAAGTTTGCCTTTGTCTTATATATACTCTGGAAAACTGTTCTATGTTCAAGATGGCTACCCTTGCACCGTGTTTCTTTACCTTTTTGCACATGTCTGCTTTAATTTTCAGCAGGTTGACTTTCAGGCACTCTTCAACCTGCCCCGTCTGCTCCTGGGCGGCCGCTTCCTCTGCGCACAAGCTGGAAATCTTTCGAAACATAAAAGATATTGGGGTTGGTCCTTGCCTTTGTAGCAACAACCCTCCAGTGTATATCTATATCTAGAAGATATTGATGCTAAAGGTGCTCCTACCTCATCTGAGCAGTGCATCTGCAGCTGAGGGTCTAACCGATAGTCCAAGGCTGACTCCTCAATAATCACGCGGATCTGGTCTTCGCAGTCGGGAGAGAGGCGCTGTCGAGGGGACAAGAACAGGAAAGAGTCCTGCCAGGTTAACACTAAGGAAAAGATAAATCCCTTGCTTGCCTGTAATGGTGCTTCTTCCCACAGCTGGCGCACAAGTTTTAATTGTGAGAATGCTCCCCTGGCCACCGCCGAGACCTGGGGTTCCAGACCCAGCAGAACTCCCAAGAGTTCTGCTGGGCTTGCGAAACTGCGTCTCCACACACACACACACACACACACACACACACACACTGCAGTCACCTCTGTAGGGTGTCTCCCCCCAGAACTGAATGATGACATCAGGGAATCCCAATGGTCAATGTAGGCCACTGGGATCCCACTTTTCTATATCTGATGCACAAGCAGCCTCACACAGGCTCTGGCTTTTCTATACAGTGATGATGATAATAATAATAATAATAATAATAATAATAATAATAATAACAACTTTATTTATACCCCGCTCCATCTCCCCCAGGGGGACTCGGTGCGGCTTACATGAGACCATGCCCATCAGTACAATACACAACAATATAACACAAAAAATAATAATAAAACCAAAAAATAAAATACATGAAATGCAAAACCAGTATCATTAGCAACACAGCAATATAAAATCAGACATTAAAACACAAAGAATTTCGCTGGGCAGGGCCAAATTCAGGATAAAATTTTAAAACACTGGGGGATAGGACAAGGTCAAACATCGGGAGGAGGATCCGGGGATGAGGAAGGATTTAATTGCACAAACCATAAGATAAAGTGCTACTGAGATCATTTTGTGCAAAATTTTTGGTCAGGGAGTATCTTGCATTCAGTCACTAAAGGCACATTGGAATAACCAGGTTTCAGAATCCTCCTGAAGATTGCCAGTGTAGGGGCTGGTCTAATATCTCTGGGAAGTGAGTTCCAGAGCTGGGAGGCCACCACAGAGAAGGCCCTCTCTTTCGTCCTCGCAAGTCGCACTTGTGATGCAGCCAGGAGCGAGAGAATAATAATAATAATAATAATAATAATAATAATAATAATAATAATAATAATTTATTTGTACCCCGCTACCATCTCCCCAAGGGACTTAGTGCGGCTTACATAAGGCCGAACCCACAATACATCAAAACAAGCAATAACAACAACAATACAAAGCAATTAAAATAAATCTCAACAAAAATAGCATAAACATTGACAATAGCACAACACACATTTAAAATCTATGGCTGGGCCGAATGTAATTAAAATTTAAAATAATGCTGGGCATGAACAAGATAGGGAGGTGGGGCGTTGGTGGGAACATACAAACAATCCTAAATCAGTATAAGGTGCTTTAGAGGACATAGTGCTAAGGGTTCATTATTCTGGGAAGGCACACTGGAATAACCAGGTTTTCAAGCTCCTCCTAAAGACTGCCAGAGATGGGGCATGCCTGATGTCCTTGGAGAGTGAGTTCCAGAGTTGAGGGGCCACCACAGAGAAGAGCCTCTCCGGAAGATCGAAGAGATCATATGGGTTCGTAAATGGGAATGCGGTCGTAAAGTTAATAATATACCTTGATACCTTGAGTTAAGAGTCTAATTTGTTCAGCAACCGAGCTCTTAACTCAAAATTCTCTCATCTCAAAGCAAATTTTCCCATCAAAATGCTATGATTCCCTTTCGAACCCCCAACCACCCCCTATTTTTGTTATGTGTTTTTTAAATAAGCAAAAGTACCTAACAAATAACATATAATTGCACATGAGACAATAAAAAAGACCAGACAGGAGAAGAAACCCAACTTGCAAGAGGTCTCGCTCACTCACCAGGTCTGCGTATTTCAGCTTCAGGCAGGAGATGACCTGTCCCTCCAGCTCCGAATCGTCCTTGGCTTTGCTCAGGATGCTCTGGCAGAATTTGGGGATGTCCGCTTTGCAGGCCTTCCGGAGGACTGGGTTCAGGCGGTAATCTGCCAGGGAGAGGAAAGGAGTTGTCAGAGTTCCAGGTTAGCTACAGGAAGGAAGGAAGGAAGGAAGGAAGGAAGGAAGGAAGGAAGGGCCGACTGACCTGTTTGCAGAATTATTTATTATTTATTTATTTAAACCATGTATATTCCGCCCTTCTCACCCTGAAGGGGACTCAGAGCGGAGCACAGCATATACACAGCAAACATTCAATGCTGGGATACAAATTCACATACATATACATAAACATTAAAAAATATTTGTCAAAATATTAAAATACACCATTTAAAACCGTCCTAGTCATCTGCGTCAAATCTAATTGGCCTGGTAATCTTTCCTATTGCCGCTTTATTGCCCTGTCCCAAAAGCTTGGTCCTACAGCCAAGTTTTGACCATCCTTCCAAAGGACAGGAGGGAGGGGACCGACCTGATCTCACCAGGAAGGGAGTTCCATAGCTGGGGAGCAATCATCGAGAAGGCCCTGTCTCTTGTCCCCACCAATCACGCATGTGCAGGGTACATGTGCAGGGTACAATGGTGGGACAGAAAGCAGGAGCTCCCTGGAGGATCTTAATCTCTGCGATGGTTCATAGGGGGAGATGCGTTCGGACAGGTAATTTGGGCCGGGGCCGTTTAGGGCTTTATAGGCCAAAGCCAGCACTTTGAATGGTGCCAGGTAGCTAACCAGCAGCCAGTGGAGCTGGCGTAACATGAGCGTTGTGTGCTCCCTGTATGCCGCCCAGTTATTAACCTGGCTGCTCCTCGTTGGACTATTTGAAGCTTCCGAGCAGTCTTCAAAGGCAACCCCATATAGAGTGTGTTGCAGTAGTCTATCCTGGATGTAACGAGAGCGTGGACTACCATGACCAAGTCTGACGTCCCAAGGTACGGGCGCAGCTGGCTCCCCTGGCCACCGCTGCAACCTGGGATTCCAGGCTCAGTGATGAATCCGGGAGAATTCCCAAGCTGTGAACCTTTCTGTGTTCTCAAATAGTATTCTGTGTCTAAGTTGGTTCATCAGGTGCTCTGCTGTGGCTGATTATTTATACCCTGCTTTATCTCTCTCAAAGGAGACCCAAAACATTTGGAAGCACAGCCCACTCGTCCCTCCCTGTCCCGTCACAAGCCTAGGAAGGAGGCCACAGTTACCTGTGTTCTGAGTAATCTGGCGCTTGGTGATCATTTGCTTGCACTTGGGATCCATCACTTCACTGTTTTTGTTCTGTTTCAAGCACTGCAGCATGTTCTTTGCATCGGCCTCGGGGCAAAATCTCTGCCAAAAGAGAGAGAAAGAGAAAAGCGATGGTTCAGTAAAAGCTTGGCCAGGATTCACTGTATTCTGGGAAAAGGAAGAAAGGCAAAGTCAGACAAGATTGCATTGTTCCATTGTGTGGCATGGGTATGGGATGATGACTCAGGTGGAAATATATTATTATTATTATTATTATTATTATTATTATTATTATTGATACAAAAGCACAGTATGTCACAGCAAACAAGATCTCTATGCTGGATTTCGTATCACAAAATCACAAGTCGAACACTTCCCAAGCGTCTAGGACTGTGTTGTTGTTGTTGTTGTTATTATTATTATTATTATTATTATTATTATTATTATTATTATTATTATTCTAAGTAACACAATTTTTGTTCCTGGGTTCTACATGTCATTTCCTAATTAGTTCTATCATAAAAGCATGGGAAAAGGTTATTAAACTGCCAAAACTTTGCTTTTGAGGGACATCCTGCTATACCATGTTTTGCTCTAGTTTTCCAATGAATATCTCATTGAGTCACAACCAATTGCAACCTAGTTTGTGGCAGCCAGAAAAATAAAGTTCCTGGAGTAGAACAACTACTTTCAAAGTACAGATTGCACAATGAAACAGGAAATAACACTTTCAAACCAGGAACAAAATATTCAAATTTTGTTACATAGTGTTGTTGTTTTTATTATTATTAGTATCCCACTTTATTATTATCATCTCATTATTATTATTATTATTATTATTATTATTATTATTCCACTTTATTATTACTATCTCTTTAAGAAAAGAGATCCAAAGTGGCTCACAAGAACACCAATACAATGTAATTTAAAATCTAATAAATATATAAACATTAAAATAGAAGCAGGAAAAAGCTTAGAAAACCAATGGATCCAAAACAGGGCAGAGGGTTAAGTAAGGGTTAAGTAAGTAGGGTTTTGGTCCACTTCATGAGCACACTGGCCTTTCATTATTATATTTCAATATTATTATTTCAGTATTATCGGGCTTGGCCTCATGTAAGTTGCCCCAAGTCCCCTTTGAGGAGATGGTGGCGCGGTATAAACTTATTATTATTATTATTATTATTATTATTATTATTATTATTATTCATTCTGCCTTTAAATAATAATAATAATAATAACAACAACAACAACAACAACAACAAATTATTATTATTATTATTATTATTATTATTATTATTATTATTATTATTGGGTTGTTGTAGGTTTTTTCGGGCTATATGGCCATGGTCTAGAGGCATTCTCTCCTGACATTTCACCTGCATCTATGGCAAGCATCCTCAGAGGTAGTGAGGTCTGTTGGAACTAGGAAAATGGGTTTATATATCTGTGGAAAGACCAGGGTGGGACAAAGGACTCTTGTCTGCTGGGGCTGGGTATTATTATTATTATTATTATTATTATTATTTATACCCAGCTTTATTTCTCCTAAAGGGGACTCAAAGCAGCTTAACATAAAAGCATTAGCATACAATTTAAAATATACAGATATGCAAACATTAAAACAGAATTAATTATAGAGAGTATAAAAAATTTCCCAGTTAAAATCCACTAAAACACGTGTTGTTATTAAGTTTAAGTAATCTATGTCCCATGAAACCCTAACCCTGAACTTCAACCATCTCTCCGTTGTACCTCTATCCCAATCAAGCCTGTATCATGTCCCATGTTCTAGATCAGCCACAAGAGGCTGATGGTTCAACTGATGATTTAGAGAGGATCGTGCGCTTTCCTGTGGCACAAAGTGATGAGCTCTCAAGTCTGGGAAATGATGGTTCTCTCTGTGAGAAAACTGGCTCGGAAAGTGAAGGGCCTAGAGGGCATTCAGGGAAGTCAAAAGCAGCAACAGCAGATAAGAAATCGAGTGAAGAGCTAAGTGATAAGGAGGGTTCCCATGAGAACCCACCGGTAGTATGGAGATCAATAAAAGGCTTTGTTTACCTATCAGAGCTGAAAATAGATTGCATCATTCAGATTATGTGGGAAAGTTGGGAAGGAAATTCATGGGAAACAGAATGATTTCATGGGTGTCTATTAAACAACAAGTTGTTTACCTTAAGGTCAGTTCAGGCAATGCTGCGTTAGGGTGAGAAGCTAAGCCTGAGTTCTCTTGTTCTTGGGGTTCAAGTCAAGCTTTGATTTTGGATTTTATATATCTTACAAGTTTTATACGTTCCTGTTAATGTACTCTTGCTCAAGTTATATTAGTCAAACCTTCTTCATTATGGATTTATGATTATGGAATGTGATTCCTGGCTCTTCCTCGACTTGGTAACCTTTGGAACTTTCTGAGACATTTGGATTGTTGGTTGGTTATCACCTGTTGCTAAACCTTTTTTGGACTATATATCTTCCTCTCTTATTCCTGATTTTTATATGCTTTTTATACACTTTTACAATAAACCAAAGTGCTCTTCCAATACATTTTACAATAAACCAAGTGCTGTTCCAACAGTCACCAGCCAATCCCTCTCCAAAGTCAGAAATACAGCTTAATAGTGTAACATTAGACAATGTTGACCATTTCCGCTCCCTTAGCAGCCACCTCTCCACAAAAGTCAACATTGACACTGAAATGCAACACTGCCTGAGCTCTGCGAGTGCAGCATTCTTCCGAATGAAGCAGAGAGTGTTTGAGGACCGGGACATCTGTAGGGAGACCAAGGTGCTTATTTATAAAGCTATTATCCTCCCAACCCTGCTTTACGCCTGCGAGACATGGACTATTTACAAAAATCACATGCAACTCCTGAAACGATTCCATCAGCATTGCCTCCAGAATATCCTGCAAATCTCTTGGGAAGACAAACGGACAAATGTCAGCGTGCTGGAAGAAGCAAAGACCACCAGCATTGAAGCGATGGTCCTTCACCATCAACTCCGCTGGACTGGCCATGTTGTCCAGATGCCCGACCACTGTCTCCCAAAGCAGTTGCTCTACTCTGAACTCAAGAACGGAAAATGAAATGTTGGTAGACAGGGAAAAGAGATTGAAAGATGGGCTCAAAGCCAACCTTAAAAATTGTGGCATAGACACTGAGAACTGGGAAGCACTGGCCCTTGTGCACTCTAGCTGGAGGTCAGCTGTGGCCAGCAGTGCTGTAGAATTTGAAGAAGCATGAATGGAGGGTGAAAAGAGAAATGTGCCCTCACTGCGGGAGAAGATGCAGGTCAAGAATAGGGCTCCACAGTCACCTACGGACCCACCAGCACACTGATCCTGGAAGACTATCCTACTCAGACAACGAGGGATCGCCTAAGTAAGTAAATACAATAAACTGTTTGCTTATATACCTGGTACGGTGATCATAGGTGTTTCCAAGTCTGGAGTGCAACAGCCCAAAGTTGTAAGAAAACAACTACCGTATATACTCGAGTATAAGCCGACCCGAATATAAGCCAAGTCACTTAATTTTACCACAAAAACTGGGAAAATGTATTGACTCAAGTATAAGGCGAGGGTGAGAAATTCAGAAGCTACTGATACATTTCAAAATGAAAATAGATACCAATAAAATTATATTAATTGAGGCATCAGTAGGTTAAATGTTTTTGAATATTTATATAACATTGTAATTTAAGATAAGACTGCCCTAACCTTCAATGTAAATGTGCTTACGTATCCTTCCAATAATAATAAAGACAGTAAAATAATAAATGGAATAATAATAATATAGAGTGAAATAACAAATGTAATAATAACAATCATAGAGTAAAATAATAAATTTAATGATAACACTTATAAAATAAAATAATAAATGTAATAATAATAAAGTAAAATGATAACTATAATAATAATAAATAGAGTAAAATAATAAATGCAATAATAATAATAATAATAATAATTTATTTATTTGTCGTGTCAGAACAACCAGTCAAATTATATTACTTTCTAACAGAACAAAGCAAACAAGCAGATTACAAAATTTGTGAGTATGAGAGTTGATTAAATGTCCTTTGAACAGTATCTGGCCACTTGGAGTGTCTCTGGTGTTGCTGCAAGAAGGTCCTCCCTTGTGCATGTGGCAGGGCTCAGGTGCATTGCAGCAGGTGGTCAGTGGTTTGCTCTTCTCCACACTCGCATGTCGTGGATTCCACTTTGTGGCCCCATTTCTGAAGGTTGGCTCTGCATCTCGTGGTGCCAGAGCGCAGTCTGTTCAGCGCCTTCCCAGTCCTCTGTGTGCCCAGGGGGGAGTCTCTCATTTGGTATCAGCCATTGATTGAGGTTCTGGGTTTGAGCCTGCCACTTTTGGACTCTCGCTTGCTGAGGTGTTCCAGCGAGTGTCTCTGTAGATCTTAGAAAACTATTTCTAGATTTAAGTCGTTGACGTGCTGGCTGATACCCAAACAGGGGATGCGCTGGAGATGTCTCTGCCTTGGTCCTTTCACTATTGGCTGCTACTTCCCGGCGGATGTCAGGTGGTGCAATACCGGCTAAGCAGTGTAATTTCTCCAGTGGTGTAGGGCGCAGACACCCCGTGATAATGCGGCATGTCTCATTAAGAGCCACATCCACTGTTTTAGTGTGGTGAGATGTGTTCCACACTGGGCATGCATACTCAGCAGCAGAGTAGCACAGCGCAAGGGCAGATGTCTTCACTGTATCTGGTTGTGATCCCCAGGTTGTGCCAGTCAGCTTTCGTATGATATTGTTTCTAGCACCCACTTTTGCTTGATGTTCAGGCAGTGCTTCTTGTAGGTAAGAGCACGGTCCAGAGTGACTCCCAGATATTTGGGTGCGCTGCAATGCTCCAGTGGGATTCCTTCCCAGGTGATCTTCAGAGCTCGGGATGCTTGTCTGTTCTTGAGATGAAAGGCACATGTCTGTGTTTTAGATGGGTTAGGGATCAGCTGGTTTTCCCTGTAATAGGCAGTAAGAGCACCTAGAGCTTCGGAGAGCTTCTGTTCTACCATCTCAAAGCTCCCTGCTTGAGTAGTAATGGCACGATCATCAGCATAGATGAAACTCTCTGCCCCTTCAGGCAGTGGCTGGTCATTTCTGTAGATGTTGAACATGGATGGAGCAAGCATGCTCCCCTGAGGCAGGCCGTTCTTCTGTTTCCGCCATCTGCTTCTCTGGCCCTGGAACTCAACAAAAAAGCTCCTGTTTTGTAGCAGGTTTCCTATGAGGCGGGTGAGGTGGTCGTCCTTTGTGATATTATACATTTTTCTCAGGAGGAGGCGGTGGTTCACAGTATCATAGGCTGCTGACAGGTCTATGAAGACAGCTCCTGTGATCTGCTGCCTGTCGCAACAATGATGATGATGATGACAGAGTAAAATAATAAATAACCTTGACTCGAGTATAACCCAAGGGGGACTTTTTCAGCCTAAAACAAGGGTTAAAAACTAGGCTTATACTTCAGTATATACAGTATGTTATAGCATAAGAACAAGCTCAATAGTCTCCTGCCCAAAGGCAGAACTGGGCCACACAAAACAGGTACCATTTGTCTATGCTCTTTTACATCCAAGGAGTGGATTTCCGTATCATTCTGCCATATTTTGCACTCTTAATATCAAACCTCCTGGGTTCAACCATATTACAAAGAGTCAAAAGGACAAAAAGCCCCTCCTCCTTCAGCAATGGTATTCTTACCTTAATCATCTGCTTGCAGACCCGCATGAGAGTGTAATCCAGCTCTGGGTCCATCATTTCTGTCTCTTGGAGTTTGAAGACTTTCTGGTGGCAGCGGGTGTTCAGCTGCTTCTTGTTCTCCTTCAGGCACTCGATAATCTGCAATTGAACAGCCATAGCTAAGGATGCGCCCCAAAGGGAATGAGATGACGCTAGATGGCAGCATTGCCGAGAGTTCGTCAACAATCAAACACGCTTGCCAGACCAAAGGGGAAGGTCAGCATCACAGGAACAATAGTAATATCAGTATGGCAAAGGGTGAGAACTATCAGGGTGAGAGTCTCAAAGTTCAACCAACGGGATGGGAATGAATCCAGAAGCACTCCCACAAAGTCAACACAGGTTCTTTGCTTTCCGTTCGGGCACGGCAAAGAAGAGAGGAAACCAAAGCATGTCTGAACATGTTTTGGTGCAGAAGGTGTTCCAGGAAGAGCTCCTTAAAAGAAAGAATTCGGATGGCAATTAAGAGCATCCATTCTCAGGCTGACGTGTTCAACTGCAACTCCCATAATCCCTGGGCATCAGGACTAACTGGGGAATATGGCAGCTGCAGTCCAACAAGCTTCAGAGGATTTTATTTATTTATTTATGACATTTATATGCCACCCTTCTCACCCCGAAGGGGACTCAGAGCGGCTTACAATGCTTATAATAGGGTTTATAATATATTGTATGTATAGGTAAAGGTAAAGGTTGTCCCCTGACATTAAGTCCAGTCATGTCTGACTCTGGGGTGTGGTGCGCATCTCCATTTCTAAGCCGAAGAGCCAGCGTTGTCCGTAGACACCTCCAAGGTCATGTGGCCGGCATGACTGCATGATATTATACTATACTAATAATATAATATATATTGTATGTATATATATTATATTATTAGTATAGTATAATATCAGTATTAAATATTACTATATTGTACTATACCATTATACTGTAATATTATCTATATAAATAAAAATGTTATGTTCGTTTGTGGGATTAACAGAACTCAAAAACCACTGGACGAACTGATACCAAATTTAGACACAAGACACCTAACAACCCAATGTATGTCCTTCACTCAAAAAAATTGATTTTGTCTCCCACAACCAACAGAAAATTCTAGAAGGGTTTGGTGGGCATTGACCTTGAATTTGGGAGTTGTAGTTCACCTACATCCGGAGAGCACTGTGGATTCAAACAATGATGGATTTGGACCAAACTCTACACAAATACTCCATATGCCCAAATGTAAACACAGATGGGGTTTGGGGGAAATAGACCTTGACATTTGGGGGTTGTAGTTGCTGGGATTTATAGTTCACCTACAATCAAAGAGCATTTCAAACCCCACCAACGATGGAATTGAACCAAACTTGGCACACAGTTCTCCCATGACCAACAGAAAATACTGGAAGGGTTTGGTGGGCAGTGTCCTTTGGTTTTGGAGTTGTAGTTCACCCACATCCAGAGATCACCGTGGACTCAAACAATGATGAATCTGGACCAAACTCTACACAAATACTCAATATGCCCAAATGTGAACACTGGTGGAGTTTGGGGAAAATAGAATCTTGACATATGGGAGTTGTAGTTGTTGTGATTTATAGTTCACCTACAATCAGAGCATTCTGAACCCCATCAACGACAAAATTGGGCCAAACCTCCCACACAGAACAGCCATGTGGGCCACAGCAACGCGTGGCAGGGGATGGCTAGTTAGTAATATAAATATATATTATATAAAATATATAATTATAATTATATAATTATAATATATCATTTGGGAGTTGTAGTTGCTGGGATTTATAGTTCACCTACAATCAAGGAGCATTCCGAACCCCACCAACGATGGGGTTCAGAATTATTATATAATTATAATATAAAATATAATGTAATATAAAATATATAATTATAATATTGTATTATTATATTGTATTACAGTCTAATATTATAAATATTATATGTATATTATATGTATATTTTATTATTATATTATTAGTAAAGCACAAGGATGCCAAGTTAAGAAAGGTGACTTACTAGCTAATATATACATGGCTCACCTACAATCAAAGAGAGAATGTGAGAGAATTGGCCGTCTGCAAGGACGTTGCCCAGGGGACACCCGGATGATTTCTGATGTTTTATCATCCTTGTGGGAGGCTTCTCCTCTCATCCTTCTCTTCTGCAGCTAAACATCCCCAGCTCTTTAAGACGCTCCTCATAGGGATTCACGGTCTCCAGTCACCCTCTTCCTCTGGACCCCTTCCAGATCAAGAGTCAATATCCTTCTTGAATTACTTTGCCCAAAACTGGACACATTACTATGACTTCCCTCAATCTGGACATGAGACTCCTTACGATACAGCCCAAAATCCCACTGGAATTTTTTAGCTGCTGCATCACACGGTTGGCTCATGTTCAGAACATTGAGAAAAGGGAGCAGGACTGGAGGCTACGACTTGAAATAAAAGGTATGGAGGTCACTACCGGAAGTGTTTAGGGTTTATAATACAGAAGGTCAGTCACCTGAGCATTGCCGTAGGGAACGTTCTGGCAGTAGTTCTTGATGTCCGACTTGCATGCCTCGTAAAGGTCCGGTTCCAATCGGATATCCTCAGTCTGCAAGGCAACACAAAGATTTTGTAAAAGCGGATATTAAAGGAAGGAGAATTCCAATGACCATGGGGAGTTGAAACTAAAACTCTTGAGATTGACTGAAAGAGAAAAGAAAGACAAAAATAGCTGGAAAAGGAGCTCAAGAATAATGATATTTTAAATTTGGGAGATATATGTGTGTGTGTGTGTGAATGTAATATTCGTTTGTGGTATTAACATAACTCAAAAACCACTGGTTTTTGGTGGATTTGGTGGATTACCACCAAATTTGGCCACAAGACGCCCCCAACATGACAAACTTTAAGTGCTGATGGAGTTTTTCAGAGTTAACCTGGCATGGTGGGTTTTGTAGTTCACCAAAAACTAGAGAAACTGCGTCCTCCGCCAATTTTTTTTTTTTTGTGTGTCAGGAGCAACCGCTCCTGTTGTGAGAGAATTGGCCGTCTGCAAGGACGTTGCCCAGGGGACGCCCGGATGATTTCTGATGTTTTATCATCCTTGTGGGAGGCTTCTCTCATGTCCCCGCATTAGGAGCTGGAGCCGATAGAGGGAGCTTATCCGCCTCTCCCCAGATTCGAACCTGCGACCTGTCGGTCTTCAGTCCTGCCAGCACAGGCTTTAACCCACTGCGCCACCGGGGGCTCCTCCACCAATGATGGACCTGGACCAAACTTGGCCCACTGAACCCCCATGACTGACTCAACCAGCTGGAGGGGTTTGAAGGGAGTGGCCTACCATAGAGGGAGTTGTAGTTTACCCTACAGCCAGAGAGCACACTGAACCCTACCCATGAGGTATCTAGAGTAAACTTCCCCAACATGACAAACTTTAAGTACTGATGGAGATTTTCAGGGTTAACCTGGCATGGTGGGAGTTGTAGTTCACCCAAAACCAGAGAAACTGTGACCTCCACCGATGATGGATCTGGACCAAACTTGGCCCACAGAACCACCATGACTGACTCAACTAGCTGGAGGGGTTTGAGGGGACAGGTTCACCATAGTGGGACTTGTAGTTTACCCTACAGCCAGAGAGCATACTGAACTCCACCCATGAGGCATCTAGAGCAAACTTTCCCAACATGACAAACTTTAAGTACTGATGGAGTTTTTCAGGGTTAACGTAGCATGGTGGGAGTTGTAGTTCACCCAAAACCAGAGAAACTGTGTCCTCCACCAATGATGGACCTGGACCAAACTTGACCCACATAACCCCCATGACTGACTCAACCTACTGGAGTGTTTTGAGGGGACTGGCTCACTCTAGTGCAGGGGTAGGGAACCTTTGGCCCTCCAGCTGTGGTGGACTTCAACTCCCACAATTCCTTGAGGCTCGGCATTCGCCCCAAAGGCTTACCTTGGCCCAATGCCGAGCCTCAAGGAATTGTGGGAGTTGAAGTCCACCACAGCTGGAGGGCCAAAGGTTCCCTACCCTTGCTCTAGTGGGACTTGTAGTTTACCCTACAGCCAGAGAACACACTGAACCCCACCCATGATGCATCTCGAGCAAACTTCCCCAACATGACAAACTTTAAGTACTGATGGGAGTTGTAGTTCACGCAGAACCTTATGCATTTTGCTCAATTAAAATCACCCCATGTGCCACCAAAGAGGGCATTGCGCCTGAATCTTCAGCAGAAGGCTTCATCAGACCAGAATGGAGGATGTAGGACGGAGCTGTCTTGTTGTTGAGTCTTTAAATAGTGCTTAGGAGGAGCAGGCAGCTGCTGAGAAGCCACAATTAGCTCCTCGGGTTTATGCAGCCAAGCCCAGCTGTAGAGGAAAAGCACTTCACCAATGTGCGTGTGCGCATATCACTCCTTTCATGGTTGCCCATCAGAGCCATGAAATTCAGTAGGCAGTTAGGAATGGTGGGAGTTGAAGTCCAAAACGCCCAGAGGGCCAAAGTTTGCTCACACCTGTTCTAAATGCAACTGCACAACCCCTAATGCCACATCTATATAAATAAAAATGTAATGTGCGTTTGTGCGATTAACATAACTCAAAAACCACTGGACGAATTGACACGAACTTTGGACACAAGACACCTATCAGGCCAACGAGTGACCATCACTCATAAAAACACTGGAAAACACAGCAGAAGGGACTTAAAAAAGCCAAAAAACAAAACACACGCGTAAAACCACACATATATATACGCAAACACACACATATAAATACACATATATGCATATACATGCACAAAACACGTACACAGAAAGGGGAAGGAAGAGAGGAAAAGGTAAAGAAGGAAGGAAGGAAGGAAGGAAGGAAGGAAGAGAAGGAAGGAGAAAAGAGAGAAGAAGGGAAAGAAGGAGAGGAAGAAGGAAGGGAGAAGGAGAGAAAGAAGGAGGGAGAGAAAGATGGAAAGAATGAGGGAATGAGAGAAAGAAAAAGGAAGAAGGAGAAAGGAGAGAAAAGAGAAAGAGAAGGAAGAGAAGAAGAAGAAGAAGGAAGAAAGAGAGGAAGGAAGGAAGAGAGGAAAGAGAAGAAAGAAAAGTAAAAAGGGAAGGAAGGAAGGAAGAAGGAGAAGGAGAAGGGAAGAGAAGAAAAGAAGAGAAGGAGAGAAGGAAGAGGAAGAGAAGGGAGAAGAGGAAAAGAGAAGGAAGGAAAGAAAGAAAGGAGGGAAGGAAGAAAGGAAGGAGGGAGGGAGGAGAAGGGGAAGGAAGGGGAAGGAGAGAGAAGAAGAAAGGGAGAGAAGAAGAGAGAGAGAAGAGGAGAAAAGAGAAAGAAGGGGAAGGAAGGAAAAAAGGGAAGGAAGGAAAGAAGATGGAAAAAAGAGAAGGAAGGGAAAGAAGGAGAAAGAGAGAGAAGAAAAGAAGGGAGAAGAAGAAGAGGAAGGAAAACAAAAAAGAAAAGAGGGAAGAAGAGAGGGGAAGAGAAAAGGGAGGAGGGAGGGAGGGAAGGAGGGAGGGAAGAGGAGGAAGAAGAAGGAAAAGGAGGAAGAAGGGAAGAAGAAGAAGGAAGAAAGGAAGGAGAACCAAAGAGCAAAGGAAGCGAAGAAACAGGTAGAGAAGGAAGAAAGAAGAGGAGAAAAAGAGGAGGAAGGAAGGAGGAAAGGAAAGAAGAGAGAAGAGAGGGGAGGTTGGCCACAGCAACGTGTGGCGGGTACAGCTAGTATTATATAAATGTAATGTTCGTTTGTGGGATTAACAGAACTCAAAAACCACTGGACGAATTGCTGCCAAATTTGGCCACAGGACACCTACTAACCCAAGGAGTGACCTTCACTCAAAAAACATGGATTTTGTCATTTGGGAGTTGTAGTTGCTGAAATTTACAGTTCACCTACAATCAAAGAGCATTCTGAACCCCAACAATGATGGAATTGAACCAAACTTGGCACACAGGACTCCCACAACCAACAGAAAATTCTGGCAGGGTTTGGTGGGCATTGACCTTGAATTTCAGAGTTGTAGTTCACCTACATCCGGAGAGCACTATGGATTCAAACAATGATGAATCTGGACCAAACTTGGCATGAATACTCCATATGCCCAAATGTGAACACAGATGGAATTTGGGAGAAGTACACCTTGACATTTAGGAGATGTAGTTACTGTGATTTATAGTTCACCTACAATCAAAGAGCATTCTGAACTCCACCAACGATGGAATTGAACCAAACTTGGCACATAGGACTCTCACAACCAACAAAAAATTTGGGAAGGGTTTTGTGGGCATTGACCTTGAATTTGGGAGTTGTAGTTCACCTACATCCAGAGAGCACTGTGGACTCAAACAATGATGGATCTGGACCAAACTTGGCATGAATATTCCATATGCCCAAATAGGAACATAGATGGAGTTTGGGGGAAATAGACCGTGGCATTTGGGAGTTGTAGTTACTGGGATTTATAGTTCACAAACAATCAGAGAGCATTCTGAACCCCACCAATATTAGAATTGGACCAAACTTCCCACACAGAACCCTCTTAAGCAACAGAAAATACTGTGTTTTCTGGTGGTCTTTGGTGACCCTTCTGACACCCCCTCATGACCACCCAGGGGTCCCGACCCCCAGGTTGAGAAGTGCTGCCTTAAAGCCATCCAGTCCAACTCCCTTCACCAGGGTAAGAAAACATAAGTAAAGCCCTCCTGACAAAGAGCCATCCAGCCATAGATATAGATAGATATATAGATATGATTCACACACACACATATATTTTATGACAGATATGATATCATAGATTTGAAAGGGACCCCTAAAGAAGGACAATGATATGTTGCATGTTCCAGAGTAGGCAAACCAGACAATCTCCACATCAACACTGACAAAGAAACAGTGAGAAATACTGTTTACTAGGCTTGGGCAATCCATGGTTCTAAATGGTTCTAAAGTACTTACAAAACTAAAGTTCTGGTGGTGAAAATTTCAGAACTCTAACAAAACTCTCAAAATTTCATAATAAATGGCAGTTCCTAATTGGTTCTGTCATTAAAATCACCAATAATGAAATAATAATTAAATTTTGAAAGTTTTGTTAGAGTTCTGAAATTTTCACCACCAGAACTTTAGTTTGGTAAGTACTTTAGAACCATTTAGAACCATGGATTGCCCAAGCCTACTGTTTACCCACAAGCATAAAGACATTACATAGATTAGAAACCAACACTTTCTCATTACTTTATTTTCCAGATCACCAGACTGGGCCACAGCAACGTGTGGCAGGGGACGGCCAGTCAGTAATACAAAAATCCTCTGCTAGGACAGAAACGGAGAGAGAGGTTTGCTCCTTCTCCTGGTTCCAGAGAGTTGGCAGAGCCAGTCATTGCATCGGCTTGGGAAGGCCTTGGCTCCGTAAAAGGCGCTGAGTGGTGGCAGAGTGCCTGGGAAGGCCAGCAAAAGCCCGCCAACCACAAGAAGCCCAATTTAGACTATCGGGAAAGATAATTACAAAGCGGCAAAGGAGTGGCAATGCCAGGCTGGCAGGGAAGTGTTGTGCTGTGGGAGGGCCGGCTTGAGTCCTTACCATTTCAAGCTCCTCGACCCGGAGCTGCTTGCGGCACTTGACGGAGACCCGGTGCTCCTTGGCGTCCTGCAACGTGTCGTTGCGCACTGTGGTGCTCAGGCAGATCACCACATCCACCCTGGAAAAAAAGGGGGGGAAAGGGAATTATAATACCTTGGAGATCTGCAACTCGGAGCACAAAAGACTTTGGCGGATTGGCAAAGGCAAAAAGGGCCAGATTAGGATCTGGAGGAGAGACCACTGTCATAGAATCCTAGAATTCGGAGGGACTCCTAAAGGACATCTAGTCCACCCTCCTTTTTATTTACATAGGGACCACCAAACGCAGCGCCCAGACACGCATCAAGGAACATGAAAGGCACTGCAGACTACTTCAACCAGAGAAGTCAGCCATAGCAGAGCACCTGATGAACCAGCCTGGGCACAGCATATTATTTGAGAACACAGAAATGCTGGACCACTCCAACAACCACCATGTCAGACTACACAGAGAAGCCATTGAAATCCACAAGCATGTGGACAATTTCAACAGAAAGGGAGAGACCATGAAAATGAACAAAATCTGGCTACCAGTATTAAAAAACTCTAAAATTGTAACAGCTAAACAACAGAGAGGAAAAAACCAGGCACAGATTAACACCTCCCAGCAACAGATTTCCCAGGCAAAGGACAAGACTCTTCCTTAGGCTTTTACAGTTTTCAGCATTTTCCCAATAGGCACTAATAATTTCCTAATAAGCTCTCTTCACCCCTTCACTCAGATATACAAACCCATTTTCCTACTTCCAACAGACCTCACTACCTCTGAGGATGCTTGCTATAGATGCAGGCGAAACGTCAGGAGAATGCCTCTAGAACATGGCCATATAGCCCGGAAAAACCTACAACAACCCAGTGATTCCGGCCATGAAAGCCTTTGGCAATTCTCAGAGCGGCTTACAAGATATATATACATACAATAGATGAGCTATATACAATGAAGGATATTGGTGAACCTCGCTGAATAAAGCTTTGTCAAGAAAACCCTAAAATAAGGTTGACGTAAATCAGTATCAACATAGAATCCTAGAATCCTAGAAACACAGCCGCATCTCTTGCCACCGCCACCATTTCCCACCTACTTTTTCTTGATGTTGGGGCACAGCTTCAGCACGTCCTCCTTGCAGGCCATTTTGAATTTGTACGAGAACCGGAAATCTTTCATTTGAACCTTTGGGAAGAGAACAAGGTCAGATACAAAACCAATATGGATGCTTTCTCCACCCCAAGCCCAGCCGTTATATGTTCCTCCTCCACTCCACGCCAGAGAAGAGCAAGGTGTGAAAGCCTTACCCCATTGTTTATCCTACTTGGGGTCCCTTCAATGACACTTTTTCTATTCCTACCTCATCCAGGGTTTTCTCGTTTTAGCTCGTCCATTTGGCCTGCCCATTCTGTTTGATTTTCTTTCTTTATTTAATTTTACTACTGTATGCATTTTATTCTGATGTAATTTTTGTTGTCTGCATTCTGTATTGTATTTTTGCTGTATTGTATCTTTGGGCTTGGTCTCATGTTAGCCGCCCCGAGTCCCCTTTGGGGAGATGGTGGCGGGGTATAAATAAAGTTTATAATAATAATAATAATAATAATAATAATAATAATAATAATAATAATTTACTAACACAAAAACACAGTAAAAAAGGTAAAGGTTGTCCCCTAACATTAAGTTCAATGACTTTGGGGTGTGGTGCTCATCTCCATTTCTAAGCCGAAGAGCCGGCGTTGTCCATAGACACCTCCAAGGTCATGTGGCCAGCATGACTGCATGGAGCGCCGTTGATACAGTATGTCATAGCAAATGAGATATATATGCTGGATTTCGTATCACAAAATCACAATTCGAACACTTCTCAAACATCTAGGACTGTGTGATGTATTATTATTATTATTATTATTATTATTATTATTATTATTATTATTAGAAACACAACAAGATGAGTCCACAGCAGACACTCTGCTGGCTGTTGTATTGGATCACACATCGGACACCTCCCAAGTGTCTAGGACTGTGTGATGTATCGGTGAATAATGCGTGCAGATCCCAGTAAGGTGGCCTTCTGCAGCTGGCAGATGGTAATTTTGTCAGCGCCAATTGTGTTTAAGTGCAGGCCAAGGTCTTGAGGCACTGCACCCAGTGTGCCGATCACCACTGGGACCACCTTGACTGGCTTGTGCTAGAGTCTTTGCAGTTTGATCTTTAAATCCTCTATTATTATTATTATTATTATTATTATTTATTTATTTATTTATTTATTTATAACCCGCCACCATCTCCCCAAAGGGGACTCGGGCCGGCTAACATGAGGCCAAGCCCAAAATAATACAACATGATTAAACACAAAATATTATTATTATTATTATTATTATTATTATTATTATTATTATTATTATGATGTGTGGATGGATAAATGAAATTGCCTGACTGGGGTCTGGCTAAGAGGCTATTACGGCTTACCAAGACTGAAGATACCATCCTAAGAAGATTGAGATCTTAAATGGTATGATGGAGGAAAATCTGCTGACATAACTGACCTGGGAGATTTTGATGTAAACAACATGTTTACATAGCCAAAAATAGTAAGGAAATCAGAAACAATGACGGCGTGGGCAAACTTGGGCCCTCCAGGTGTTTTGGATTTCAATTCCCACAATTCCTAACAGCCTACCGGCTGTTAGGAATTGTGGGAGTTGAAGTCCAAAACACCTGGAGGGCCCAAGTTTGCCCAGGCCTGCTTTAAATGGAAGTTGACAATGCTGAAGAATGCAGAGACGAATGCTCGCCCAACTCCTTGGCTGAGCCAAGCGTAGAGAGATGCCCGGCCATACTCACCAGCTGAAAGTGCGTGACTCCGATGGCGCACTTCTCATTCATCTCCTTCTGGTGTTTGTTCTGAATGAGGCACTCCATGAGGTCTCCAGAGTCGATTTGGTTGTCTGCCATTTCCTGAAAGGGAGAGGGAAGGGCCAGAAGGACATACGCTGACTATACCTGCCAGGAATCTGCCTCTCTTCCTGGCAGCCTCCGGGCTGCAGTCAAGGAAGGAATTGTCGCTACTCTTGTTGTACGCTTTTGCATCAACTCTGATTGATTTTTAATGCTTTCCCAGTTTTTAGTTGCCTTTTGCATTTCGTTTTACGCTTGCCCCCTGTGACTTGCTGACAAGTGTCAGAGGGCTGTTATGTGTGTATAATATTTTAAGAAATAAAAATATTTTAATAAATATAATTATAGAATATTTTATTACATATATATAATATTTTATTACATATATATTTATATTTGTGTATGTGTGTGTGTATATATGTGTGTGCATGTGTATATGTGCGTGTATATTTTAATAAATAAAATATTTTAATAAATATAATTATATATTTTATTACATACATGTATATGTAATATTTTATTACATATATGTGTGTGTGTATGTGTGTGTATATATATATGTGGTGTGTATATATATGTGTGTATAATATTTTAATAAATAAAATATTTTAATAAATATTATTATATATTTTATTACATACATGTATATGTAATATTTTATTACATATATGTTTGTGTGTATGTGTGTGTATATATATATGTGGTGTGTATATATATGTGTGTATAATATTTTAATAAATAAAATATTTTAATAAATATTATTATATATTTTATTACATATATATATGTAATATTTTATTACATATATATGTATGTATATGTGTGTGTAATATTTTAATAAATAAAATATTTTAATAAATATATTTATAATATTTATATATATATAGTAATATTTTATTACATATGTATGTGTATGTGTGTGTGTAAAAGCATTGTAATGTTTTCTTTTTCTTTTTTGACCTTTTAAGTCTCTTCTGCTGTGTTTTTCAGCATTTTAATGAGTGATGGTCACTTGTTGGCCTGAGAGGTGTCTTGTGTCCAAATTTGGTGTCAATTCGTCCAGTGGTTTTTGAGTTATGTTAATCCCACAAACTAACATTACTTTTTTATTTATATAGATATATGTGTGTCAGTACGTATATATAAAAAACTTTTTTACAGTCACACAAAAAGAGGGAAAATTGAAGTTGGATGCCAAAGAAATTTCTCTCTCTGGCACCTGACTTTTCCATTTTCCCTCTTTGTATGTGTGTGCATTTAAAAAAGTAATTAATATAATATAATATAATATAATTTATATATTATAAAATATTTATATATAATATAAATATTTTATATATAATATTTTATATATAATATGTTTTATTGTTTTTATGTATCATATTTTTATTTTTACACATACACACACACACAAACGAAAAATGGCAACCAAAGTGGAAGAAAAATATTATCTGTAGATCAGCAACATCTGTAAGGCCTTTTCCCCCTTAATAGAACCAGTGGCAGGAAACGGAAAGGCACTTACGTGGCAGAAGGTCTGGATGATGGGCTCGCAAGCCCGCATCAACAAAGCTTCGATCTGGATATCCTGTCGGGGAGACAGAAAGCATTAAATCCAACCGGGATCCTTAGAACATCTGTATACAAAAGGTTGGGTGCTGCCGTGCAGACGGCAATTTTAGGCCCCTTAAAAATCCAGATTATCTGCTTTGATAATCTGGGTTATAAGGCAGTGTAGAAGGGGCCTTTCACAAACTGTAACTGTGCATAGAACCACAGAGATGGAAGAGACCTCCTGGGCCATCCAGTCCAACCCCAATCTGTCAAGAAGCAGGAATATTGCATTCAAAGCACCCTCGACAGATGGCCATCCGGCTTCTGTTTAAAAGCTTCCAAAGAAGGAGCCTCCACCACACTCTGGGGCAGAGAGTTCCACTGCTAAACAGCTCTCACAGACAGGAAGCTCTTCCTCATGTTCAGATGGAATCTCCTCTCTTGTAGTTTGAAGCCATTGTTCCGCGTCCTAGTCTCCAGGGAAGCAGAAGACAAGCTTGCTCCCTCCTCCCTATGACTTCTTCTCACATATTTATACATGGCTATCATATCTCCTCTCAGCCTTCTCTTCTTCAGCCTAACAAGCCCAGCTCTTTCAGCCGCTCCTCATAGGGCTTGTTCTCCAGACCCTTGATCATTTGAGTCACCCTCCTCTGGACACAATCCAGCTTGTCAATATCTCTCTTGAATTGTGGTGCCCAGAATTGGACACAATATTCCAGGTGTGGTCTAACCAAAGCAGAATAGAGCATGGGGAGCATGACTTCCTTAGATCTAGACACTATGCTCCTATTGATGCAGGCCAACATCCCATTGGCTTTTTTTGCCGCCACATCACATTGTTGGCTCATGTTTAACTTGTGGTCCATGAGGACTCCAAGATCTTTTTCACACGTCCTGCTCTCGAGCCAGGCCTCATCGTCCCCCATTCTGTATCTTTGCATTTTGTTTTTTCTGCCAAAGTGGAGTCTCTTGCATTTGTTCCTGTTGAACTTCATTTTGTTAGTTTTGGCCCATCATCTCTCTCATCTGTCAGTGGGACAAAGGCCACTCACCTCCGACTCCAGCTCCGTCAGGTTCCCAACGATGTCTCGGCACTCAGCGACCAAGTCGTCTAAATGGTCCTGGAGGCATTCTAGTTCCTATAGAGTAAGATAAAGGGCTCTTCACACAAAATATGTATAAACACCTTGCCACTTGTGAGAATCCCCCTAAAAATGCACAAGTTCATGCCTCTGGAGTGCCCATGCCCTCAGCTATATTTCAGACAATGCTTTTCCAATCAACTCAGGCCCTGGTTCAAAAGTGACAAGTTGCTGTGACTTTCCAGGGCTGTATGGTAATGTTCCAGCAGCATTCTCTCCTGACGTTTCGCCCACATCTATGGCAGGCACCCTCAGAGGTTGTGAGGTCTGTTGGAAAGTAGGCGAGTGAGGTTTATATATCAGTCAGACTTTGAAGCTGCAAAGCTATTCAATGCTGACCAAGGTGGCCAATTGCAACATTCACACTTGCCTCCAACAGACAAAGAGTTCTTTCTCCCACCCTGGACATTATTCCACATATATAAACAATTATTTATATAGATAGATATTTAGAACAGGCATTCGGCCAATTGGTACAATGAATTGATGACTAAAGGACTGGTAAGGACTGGTAATACGGACGATGAAACTGGATGAAATTGGATCATGTTTTTAGTTAAGAGATGCACTGGATTGGATGCATTGGATTATTATCGACGAGCCAATATTGTTTATTGTGTATGCTGTTTTTATGGTTTTAAATTGAATATTGTTGTTTGTTGTACTGTTGTAAACCGCGTTGAGTCGCCAATTTAGGCTGAGAAACAGCGGTATACAAGCACAGTAATAAATAAATAAATAAATAAATCTATATAAATAAAAATGTCTGTTTGAGGGAGGTGTTAATGCTGCAACTGGCCACCTTGATGAGCATTTAATGGCCTAGCAATGTCAAGGTTTGGCTTCTTACTGCCTGGGGGAATCCTTTGTTGGGAGGTGATTAGCTGGCCCTTATGGTTTCTTGTCTGGAATTCCCCTGGTTTTGAGTGTTGTTCGTTTACTGTTATGATTTTAGACTTTTTAAAAACACTGATAAGACAGATTTTGTTGATTTTCATGCTAATCAGGGTGGCCAATGGCAACCTTCACACTTGCCTCCAACATACAAGAGTTCTTTCTCCCACCCTGGACATTATTCTACAGATATATAAACCCCACTTGCCTTCTCTGTTTGAGGTAGGTGTGAATGTTGCAACTGGCCACCTTGATGAGCATTTAATGGCCTAGCAGTTTCAAGGTTTGGCTTCTTACTGCCTGGAGGAATCCTTTGTTGGAAGGTGATTAGCTGGCCCTGATGGTTTCTTGTCTGGAATTCCCCTGGTTTTAAGTGTTGTGCTTTATTTACTGTTATAATTTTAGACTTTTTAAAGTACTCATAGACAGATTTTGTTGATTGTCATGCTAATCGTTGAAGTTGAAGGTGATTAGCTGGTCGTGATGGTTTCTTGTCTGGAATTCCCCTGGTTTTGAGTGTTGTTCTTTATTTATTGTTATGATTTTGACTTTTTTTTAATACTCACAGACAGATTTTGTTGATTGTCATGCTAATCAAGGTGGCCAATTGAAACATTCACACTTGATTCAAGCAGACAAGAGTTCTTTCTCCCACCCTGGACATTATTCCACAGATATATAAACCTCACTTGCCTTCTCTGTTTGAGGTAGGTGTTAATGCAATTGGCCACCTTGATGAGCATTTAATGGCCTAGCAGTTTCAAAGTTTGGCTTCTTACTGCCTGGGGGAATCCTTTGTTGGGAGGTGATTAGCTGGCCCTGATGATTTCTTGTCTGGAATTCCCCTGGTTTTCAGTGTTGTTCTTTATTTACTGTTATTTACAGAAATGGTAATTTAAGCTAAGACTGTCCAACTCTGATTAAATGATTATTTACCTTCTTCAATGTCAATGTGCTTACGTATCCTTCCAATAATAATAAAGAGAGCAACATAACAAATGTAATAATAACAATAATAATAAAAAGAGTAAAATAATGAATGTAGCAATAACAACAATTATACAGTAAAATAATAAATGTATAATAATAGAGTAAAATGATAAATGTAATAATAATAAATAGAATAAAATAATAAATGAAATGAAAATAATAATAATAATAAATAAAATAATAAATGAATTAATAATAATAATAATAATAATAATAATAATAGGGTAAAATAATATATAATCTTAACTCGAGTATAAGCCAAGGGGGACTTTTGTAGCCTAAAAAAAGGGCTGAAAAACTAGGTTTATACTCGAGTATATACAGTATATAATTCCAACAGGCCTCACAACCTCTGGGGATGCCTGCCATAGATGTGGGTGAAACGTCAGGAGAGAATGCTTCTGGAACATGGCCAGACAGCCCTGCAAACTCACAGCAACCCAGTGATTCTGGCCACGAAAACCTTCGACAACACATTTATATAGTTCATGTAATTAATAATAAATAGAATAAAATAATAAATGAAATGAAAATAATAATAATAATAATAATAATAAATAAAATAAAATAATAAATGAAATGAAAGTAATAATAATAATAATAATAATAATAACAATAATAGGGTAAAATAATATATAACCTTGACTCGAGTATAAGCCGAGGGGGACTTTTGCAGCCTTAAAAAAGGGCTGAAAAACTAGGCTTATACTCGAGTATATACAGTATATAATTCCAACCGGCCTCACAACCTCTGAGAATTCTTGCCATAGATGTGGGTGAAACGTCAGGAGAGAATGCTTCTGGAACATGGCCAGACAACCCTGAAAACTCACAGCAACCCAGTGATTCTGGCCACGAAAACCTTCGACAACACATTTATATAGTTCATGTAATTAATAATAAATAGAATAAAATAATAAATGAAATGAAAATAATAATAATAATAATAAATAAAATAAAATAATAAATGAAATGAAAGTAATAATAATAATAATAATAATAATAATAATAATAATAATAACAATAATAATAGGATAAAATAATATATAACCTTGACTCGAGTATAAGCCGAGGGGGACTTTTGCAGCCTAAAAAAAGGGCTGAAAAACTAGGCTTATACTCGAGTATATACAGTATATAATTCCAACAGGCCTCACAACCTCTGGGGATGCCTGCCATAGATGTGGGTGAAACGTCAGGAGAGAATGCTTCTGGAACATGGCCAGACAGCCCTGCAAACTCACAGCAACCCAGTGATTCTGGCCATGAAAACCTTTGACAACACATTTATATAGTTCTTCTCTACTAGCCAGAGCTCCACTACCCTCATCCTCTTCTTTGTTCTTCTTTTTTCTTTTTGTCAAAAATATTTTTAATGTGTAATACAACTTATGGGGAAAAAAGTGAATGCAGGGGGTACCTGTCCCGTCTCCGTCTTCTCACTGCACCACTTTCCCAGGTCGATCATGCACTTGTCCTGGAGGGCCGGATCCAGTTTCACGTCCAAGGCGCGCTGGTGCAGGATGCGCTGGACTTCGGCTCTGCATTCCCTGGAGAGCTGCCAAGCGCAAGCAAAAGGCACACATTTGTTCCAGATGAACAGCCCCAAATGCTAGGATCCCAGAGCCCTGCCTTTCTTCCGGATGCGCTGCTGCCTGCCATGGCTATTCTTAGCCTCTTCCCACACTTAGCCCTGCCTGCCAGCCACGTCTTCCCAGATCCTTATCTCCCTTGCTTGCCATTTGAGCCGGCAATTAAATCCCACTCCCCAGTGAAAAGCATCGAGTCAAACCATCATAGAATAATAATAGTTGGGAGAGATTGCATGGGTCATCTAGTCCAACCCACTTCTGCCTTCATGCACAGGAAGAGCACCATCAAAACAACCCTGACAGATGATACAATCATAGAATCAAAGAGATGGAAGAGACCTCCTGGGCCATCCAGTCCAACCCCATTCTGCCAAGAAGCAGGAAAATTGCATTCAAATCACCCCTGACAGATGGCCATCCAGCCTCTGTTTAAAAGCTTCCAAAGAAGGAGCCTCCACCACACTCCGGGGCAGAGAGTTCCACTGCTGAACGGCTCTCACAGTCAGGAAGTTCTTCTTCATGTTCAGATGGAATCTCCTTTATTGTAGTTTGAAGCCACTGTTTCGCATCCTAGTCTCCAGGGAAGCAGAAAACAAGCTTGCTCCCTTCTCCCTGTGGCTTCCTCTCACATATTATTACATGGCTATCATATCTCCTCTCAGCCTTCTCTTCTTCAGGCTAAACATGCCCAATTCCTTAAGCCGTTCCTCATAGGGCTTGTTCTCCAGACCCTTGATCATTTTAGTTGCTCTCCTCTGGACACATTCCAGCTTGTCAATATCTCTCTTGAATTGTGGTGCCCAGAATTGGACACAATATTCCAGGTGTGGTCTAACCAAAGCGTTATAGAAGGGTAGCATGACTTCCCTAGATCTAGACACTATGCTCCTATTGATCCAGGCCAAAATCCCATTGGCTTTTTTTGCCACCACATCACATTGTTGGCTCATGTTTAACTTGTTGTCCACGAGGACTCCAAGGTCTTTTTCATACGTCCTGCTCTCGAGCCAGGCATTCCCCGCCATTCTGTCTCTTTGCATTTCGTTTTTCCTGTCTAAGTGGAGTATCTTGCATTTGTCACTGTTGAACTTCATTTTGTTAGTTTTGGCCAATCATCTCTCTAATCTGTCAAGATCGTTTTGAATCCTGCTCCTGTCCTCTGGAGTCTTGGCTCTCCCTCCCAATTTGGTGTTGTCTGCCAACTTGATGATCCTGCCTTCTAGCCCTTCATCTAAGTCATTAATAAAGATGTTGAGCAGGGGCGCAGATGAAGGGGCGCATGGGTGCCTACCCTCCGGCCTTGCTCCTCGGTGCGATAGGCATGCCGATAGAGGCAGGAGAAGACGGCCCCCGGAGGGATCATCTCGCTGGTCTCGTTCCATCCGCGCGTGTGGCATAACCGGGAGGCGTCACCCTGGCACTTGCGGTACAGGACCGGGTCCAACCTGGGAAAGAAAGCGCTCATTATGGCTCTCCGTGAGTTGACTTTTCACTCTTTGCTTCTCCTTAATGGGGCTACTGCTCCTCCATTTGGCAAAACAAAGGAGATTCCTTGCAGAGCAGGACACTGTAGCTCAGACATGGGCAAACTTGGGCCCTCCGGGTGTTTTGGACTCCAACTCCCACAATTCCTAACAGCCGGTAGGCTGTTAGGAATTGTGGGAGTTGGAGTCCAAAACACCCGGAGGGCCCAAGTTTGCTGTAGCTCCATTTGTAACAAAAGATCATTTTTATATCACGCAAAAGTACAGTTTAATTCAGAATGTAATTCATGCCCTGAACAAATTGTACTTCACTGATAATTTTGAGCCACACCATGTTAGATATAAGCTGATGAAGTAACAAAGAGACTTTCAATCTGTAAATGGTCCTGTTACATTATGTGTAACCCTAAACCTTATCCTAACTGGGTCTATCACAAAAATATAGGGAAAAGTTTATCATCCTGCAAGACATTTTGCTCTAGTTTTTCAATGAAACTCTCATCAAATCTGGCTGCTGCTGGGTTGCAAGGATACACACACAAACATGTATTATTGCACAAATACTCACACAGAGAAACATGTATTATTATTATTGTTATTATTATTGACACAAAAGCACAGTATGTCATATTTATTTATATTATTATTATTATTATTATTATTATTATTATTATTACTTTATTGACACAAAAGCACAGTACGTCACAGCAAACGAGATCTATATGCTGGATTTCGTCTCACAAAATCACAACTCGAACACTTCCCAAACATCTAGAAGTGTGTGATGTATTATTATTTCTATTATTATTACTACTACTACTACTACTACTACTACTAGCCATCCCCTGCCATGCGTTGCTGTGGTCCAGTCTGTGTACATGTGTTTTGTTTGTGTATATGTGTGTGTATATATTTACATATATGTCTATATATGTATGTTTGTGTATATATGTGGTTTTGCGCATGCGTTGTAATGCATTGCTTGTTTTTCGGCTTTTTAAGTCTCTTCTCCTGTGTTTTTCAGTATTTTTATGAGTGATGGTCACACGCTGGCCTGATAAGTGTATTGTGTCCAAATTTGGTGCCAATTCATCCAGTGGTTTTTGAGTTATGTTAATCCCACAAACTAACGTTGCATTTTTATTTATATAGATTATTATTATTATTATTATTATTATTATTATTATTATTACTATTATTACTTTACTGACACAAAAACACAGTATTTCACAGCAAACGAGATTATAGAATCATAGGATCATAGAATCAAAGAGTTGGAAGAGACCTCATGGGCCATCTAGTCCAACCTCATTCTGCCAAGAAGCAGGAATATTGCATTCAAATCACCCCTGACAGATGGCCATCCAGCCTGTTTAAAAGCTTCCAAAGAAGGAGCCTCCACCACACTCTGGGGCAGAGAGTTCCACTGCTGAACGGCTCTCACAGTCAGGAAGATCCATATACTGGATTTCGTATCACAAAATCACAAGCTGAACACTTCCCAAGCGTCTAGGACTGTGTGATGTAATTTCGAATGATGCGTGCAGATCCAAGTCAGGTGGCCTTTCGCAGTTGACAGATCGTAAATTTGTCCATGTTTATGGATTTGAAAAGCCAGTTGAGATCTTTTGGTATGGGCACTCCAAACCAGAGCTGACAGCTGGCACTACAAAGCATTGCATGGGCAGTTCCTTGACAAAATTGAAGGAAAAGTTGAGAAGGTGAAGACCTTGTTATGGTTCATGAATGAAACCCTGAAGAAGGAGACAGAAGAAGGCCTGATTCTTGCAGCCCAGGAGCAAGCCATCAGGACAAAGGCCATTAAGGCCAGGATTGAAAAATCAGGTGATGACCCAAAATGCAGACTGTGCAAGGAAGCTGATGAAATCATGGAATATCTCAGCTGCTGCTGCAAGAAAATCACACAGATGGACTACAAACAGAGGCACAACTCTGTGGCCCAAATGATTCATTGGAAATTATTATTACTATTATTATTACTACTACTATTATTATTAGTACTCACTTCCAATCCCGTGAAATAAAGTACTGAAGCTCCAGGAGCCGGTGCTCGCAATCCTCCACCATCTTCTCTGTGTATAAGTGCTCCATAAGGCAAGAAAGGATCCTACAAAAGAGCAATTGACAAGTTATACCAAGAGATGCGAGTTTTGGAAGCCATTACAGGAAGTAAACAATCTGTAAATAAGAAGAGGCCATCCTGTAAAGCAGGCCTGGGCAAACTTCGGCCCTCCGGGTGTTTTGTACTTCAACTCCCACAATTCCTAACAGCCTACCGGTTGTTAGGAATTGTGGGAGTTGAAGTCCAAAACACCTGGAGGGCCGAAGTCTGTCCATGCCTGCTGGAAAGCCACACCAAAGCTTGTTGGGAGTTCAGCCTGTGATTGTGTTTCAGGATCAGGGTGCTTTAGATGTGGGGAGTGATGTCAATGAGTTTCAAGATGGCAATGATTTGGTCAGTGAGACTGATGCAGAGAATGACCTGGAGACCCCTGTTCAAAGTGTAGTTTCCCATGAGAATGTCCCTGAAGGGTGTGGGGATGATGGTGCTCTCCCTGAATTGCTACCAGAGAGTTCCCAGGATTTGGGGCTTGAAAACAACTCGGCACCTGCAGAAGTTAATGACCAAATAGATAGGTGGCAGGAGATTAGTAAAAACAGACAAGCCGAACAGTGCCTTCGGCGTTCTGCCCAGGCTCCGACAGAAAAAGATAAGGGAGTTTTCATACTATATTCCTTCCAGCCTCCCTCACTCTCATGCTCTCTCTCTCTCTCTGCTTGAAGACAAACAGGCCAGGAATAAAAACCACACAAATCAACTAACCCACAGTTCCTCAAAGAGGACAAGAGCAAAGTGGATAGCAATCTCTCAAAGCAGACAACAGCACGAGGCCTGGAGGCTGCTCCCTTGAAGCACTCTCATATTAGTGCTCGCTCTTAACGCAAAACACTGCTCTTATGTCAAAGCAAACCCCAGGCTGAGCAACTGGTCTTAACTGAAAGAGCACAAAGTTGTGTCAAGGAAGCACAAAGTTAAGAAGAAGAAGCACCACTGTTTTCATACTGTCATGCCTCAGGATAGATTCACCTTGCTAAAAACACCGAACTGCACACAGCCTGAAGTCTTTATAGTTTATGAAAAAGTAAAAGATAAAAAGTTCTTAAAAGCAAAAGTAATGTTCCAAAAGATCAATACAAGGTAGCACTTTGAAGCAGGATTCAAGAAGGCACCAGCAGAGCAAAGTACCATGAGAACATGACAAAGTCCTGAGACCCTGTACACGTGAACTGCAAGATAATCCAGGCAAACAAATGCAAGTCCCTTGGTTGAAACGAGAAGTTGCTCCGACACTGGTTTGTTCTCAAATGTTGTTGTTCATTCGTTCAGTCGTCTCCGACTCTTCGTGACCTCATGGACCAGCCCACGCCAGAGCTCCCTGTCGGCCGTTACCACCCCCAGCTCCCTCAAGGTCAGTCCAGTCACTTCAAGGATGCCATCCATCCATCTTGCCCTTGGTCGGCCCCTCTTCCTTTTGCCTTCCACTTTCCCCAGCATAATTGTCTTCTCTAGGCTTTCCTGTCTCCTCATGATGTGGCCAAAGTACTTCAACTTTGTCTCTAGTATCTTTCCCTCCAATGAGCAGTCGGGCTTTATTTCCTGGAGGATGGACTGGTTGGATCTTCTCGCAGTCCAAGGCACTCTCAGCACTTTCCTCCAACACCACAGCTCAAAAGCATCGATCTTCCTTCGCTCAGCCTTCCCTAAGGTCCAGCTCTCACATCCGTAGGTGACTACAGGGAATACCATGGCTTTGACTAGGCGGATCTTTGTTGCCAGTCTGATGTCTCTACTCTTTACGATTTTATCGAGACTGGACATTGCTCTCCTCCCAAGAAGGAAGCGTCGGGCTTTCTTTCCTGGAGGATGGACTGGTTGGATCTTCTCACAGTCCAAGGCACTCTCAGCACTTTCCTCCAACACCACAGCTCAAAAGCATCTCTCTTCCTTCGCTCAGCCTTCCTGAAGGTCCAGCTCTCACATCCGTAGGTGACTACAGGGAATACCATGGCTTTGACTAGGCGGATCTTTGTTGCCAGTCTGATGTCTCTACTCTTCACTATTTTATCGAGACTGGACATTGCTCTCCTCCCAAGAAGTAAGCGTCTTCTGATTTCCTGGCTACAATCTGCATCTGCAGTAATCTTTGCCCCTAGAAATACAAAGTCTGTCACGGCCTCCACGGTTTCTCCTTCTATTTTCCAGTTGTCAATCATTCTTGTTGCCATAATCTTGGTTTTTTTGACGTTTAGCTGCAACCCGGCTTTTGCGCTTTCTTCTTTCACCTTGATTAGAAGGCTCCTCAGCTCCTCCTCGCTTTCGGCCATCAGAGTGGTGTCATCTGCATATCTGGGTTGTTAATGTTTCTTCCAGCAATTTTCACCCCATCCTTGCATTCATCCAGCCCCGCACATCGCATGATGTGTTCTGCATACAAGTTAAAAAGGTTGGGTGAGAGGATGCAGCCTTGCCGTACGCCTTTCCCAATCTTGAACCAGTCTGTTGTTCCGTGGTCAGTTCTGACTGTTGCTACTTGGTCCTTGTACAGATTCCTCAGGAGAGAGACAAGGTGGCTTGGGATGCTCATCCCACTAAGAACTTGCCACAATTTATTATGATCCACACAGTCAAAGGCTTTAGAATAGTCAATGAAGCAGAAGTCGATGTTTTTCTGAAACTCCCTGCCTTTCTCCATTATCCAGCGGATATTGGCAATCTGGTCTCTCGTTCCTCTGCCTTTTCTAAACCCAGCTTGAACATCTGGCAACTCTCGTTCCATGTATTGCTGGAGTCTTCCTTGCAGGATCTTGAGCATTACCTTACTGGCATGAGAAATAAGGGCCACTGTACGGAAGTTTGAGCAGTCTTTCGCATCTCCCTTTTTTGGTATGGGGATATAAGTTGATTTTTTCCAGTCTGATGGCCATTCTTGTGTTTTCCATATTTGCTGGCAAATGGCCTGCATCACCTTGACAGCATCATCTTTTAAGATTTTAAACAGTTCAGCTGGGATCCCGTCGTCTCCTGCTGCCTTGTTGTTAGCAATGCTTCTTAAGGCCCATTCAACCTCACTCCTCAGGATGTCTGGTTCTAATTCATTCACCACACCGTCAAAACTATCCTCAGTATTATTATCCTTCCTATACAGATCTTCTGTATAGTCTCGCCACCTTCTCTTGATCTCTTCAGCTTCTGTTAGGTCCCTGCCATCTTTGTTTCTTATCATACCAATTTTTGCCTGAAATTTACCTCCAATGTTTCTAATTTTCTGGAAGAGGTCTCGTGTCCTTCCTATTCTGTTGTCTTCTTCCACTTCCATGCATTGCTTATTTAAAAATAGTTCCTTATCTCTTCTGGCTAACCTCTGGAATTGCGCATTTGACTGGGCATATCTCCCCTTATCCCTGTTTCCTTTTGCTTTCCTCCTTTCTTGGGCTACTTCCAGTGTCTCAGCAGACAACCATTTTGCCTTCTTGGTTTTCTTTTTCTTTGGGACGTACTTTGTTGCCGCCTCCTGAACAATGTCGCGGACTTCTGTCCATAGTTCTTCTGGGACTCTGTTTACTAAATCTAGTCCTTCAAATCTGTTCTGCACTTCCACTGTATATTCGCTAGGAATGTTAGTGAGATCATATCTAACTGGTCTGTGTATTTTCCCTGATCTCTTTAGTTTTATTCTAAATTGGCAATAAGAAGTTCGTGATCTGAGCTACAGTCAGCCCCAGGTCTTGTTTTCACCGACTGGATGGATGTCCCCCACCTTTGGCTGCAAAGGATGTTGTCAATCTGATTTCGGTGTTGACCGTCTGGTGAGGTCCATGTGTAAAGCCGTCTTTTAGGTTGTTGGAAGAGAGTATTCGTTATACACAGCGAGTTTTCCTGGCAAAATTCTATCAGCCTGCGTCCCGCTTCATTTTGTTCTCCCAGACCATGCTTGCCTGTGATCCCTGTTGTCATTTGACTTCCCACCTTGGCATTCCAGTCTCCTGTAATGAAAATAATGTCTCTTTTTGGTGTATTATCCAGTAGTTCCTGCAGATCCTCATAGAACTGATCTACTTCTGCTTCTTCAGCAGCTGTGGTTGGGGCGTATATTTGGATCACTGTAATGTTGAAAGGCTTTCTTTGCACTCGAATTGAGATCATTCTGTCATTTTTTGGGTTGTATCCAAGCACCGCTTTAGCGAATTTCTTATTAATTATGAAGGCTACTCCATTTCTTCGATGTTCCTCTTGTCCGCAGTAGTAGATCTGGTGGTCATCTGATGTGAAGTGGCCCATTCCAGTCCATTTCAGTTCGCTGACCCCCAGAATGTCTATCTTTAGTCTTGACATCTCACCAATAACAACATCCAATTTGCCCTGGCTCATAGATCTTACATTCCAGGTTCCTATGGTGTGTTGATCTGTAGAGCATCGGATTCGTCGTTCACCTCCAGTACCGTCGGCCGCTAGCCTTCCTTTCGGCTTTGAGCTAGCTGCGTCATCACATCTGGGGCTAGTTGAACTTATCCCCTGCTCCTCCCCAGTAGCATTTTGGCCATCTTCCGACCTGGGAGTCCCATCTTCCAATGGCATACCGACATATCTCTGGTTGTACTGGTCCATTTAGTTTTCTTGGCAAGGATACTGGAGTGGTTTGCCATTGCCTTCCCCAGGGATCACGCTTGGTCTGACCTCTCTGCCACAACCGTCCCGTCTTGGGTGGCCCTTCACGGTTTCGCTCATGACATCATTGAGGTGCTCAAGCTCCAGCGCCCCGACAAGGCGGTGATCCTTTGCTGGAGTGTTCTCAAATACCCTGTTTAATACTCTTTCCAAAACATGAAGGCGTTTCTCTGGCCTCTGACCTCCCTCTTGTTAGCTATTCTCACAGTCCTTTGAACTCTGAATTCCAAACGGTCAGGCCGATCTAAGGTTCCCGCTTCATCAAGGCCAGTCTGTTCATTAGTTTCAGCCTGCTTGCTTTCTTGCTCATTATCAGGCTGAGAACTGTCCTCCTTTTCGGAATCAACTTGCACCTGGCTGGTTTCAGTATCAACAACATCATTCCTTGCTGTGGGAAACTGAACTTCCACACCCTGTTCCTCATTGTCTACCACAAGGACATTTTGAATCTGATTGTGAACCTGAATCTCATCATCCTCATCAGAATTATTAACACTATCACTCTGTGGTTCCAGCTGAGTCAAAACTCATACTGTAATCCCAGCATTCCATTCTCCCTGTCCCCCCCCCCCCCCCCCCCCCCCCCCCCCCGGTCTCTCCGCATGAAGCCAAAAAGGCCAGGAATAATAACCATACAACTGTCCCAAAGCTCCTCAAAACAGACAAGAGCAAAGCAGATAGCAATCTCACAAAGCGAATGAGAGCACAAGGCCTGGAGGCTGCTCCCTTGAAGCCCTGAAGCGCTGCACTCTCATATTAGTGCTTGCTCTTCACTCAAAGCAATGCTCTTATGTCAAGCAAAACCTGGGTCAAGCATCTGCTATTAACTCAAAACAGTCTTAAGTTGGGACACTCTTAAGTCAAGGTTCTACTATATGTGAATAGGAACTAGCATGAGTTAGAGATATCACAAGATGGCAAGGCTCATTACGACAGACAATGCGGAAAAGTGGAGGACCAGTGGATTGACTCAATCAAAGTTGAGCTTGCAAGGCCTGAGCAGAACCATTACGGGGTCACTCGGAGGTCTCTCATGGTGCGTAACGAGAACGAACGCAAGCAAGTGAAGGGAAGCCAAAGCAGGGAGGCTTCAAAGCCGCCTCCGTCACCTACATGGGGTCTCCGGCGCGGATGTGCTTGCAGGCCGTCTGTATCACGGATTCGCAGGCTTCGTTCAAAGCTCTGTCGATGCGGTAATCGGCACCCGGGTCTGCCTCTTGGATAAGCGTTTGAAGCTGGAGAAGGGAAGGAGGGGGAAAAGGAAGAGAAAGAGGAGGGAGTTGAAACAGCCATGACTGAGCAGAATGAAAAAGCGAGTGGCATCAGCATCTACCCTCCAGTTAAGTTTCAGGGACTGCTTCTGTAGGTGTAAAAAAATACTTTCGCATGGATATTAACCACTCTTGCAAGTTGAAAGGGCAAAAAAAACATTTGCCGAGGAAAAGCCGCCCACGAGCAACTTATTTATCTTTCAGGCTCGGAGCCAAGTAATCGCAACCAGCTGAAATATGCCAAAGGGAGGAGCAATCCCCAGTCCCCGTAAATCAGCTGCAAAAGGGCTTCTGTAATGCTACCACTTCCTTTTGCCTCTGGAAACAGCAGAGACGATACATGCCAGGCCTAATGGTCAGATGTAGTGGTTTTGCAATGAGGGTTCCCCCATTGTCTCTCAAAGATCAGAAATAGAGACACAGAATTAGTGCACCTCCCCTTTTCAATAGGGCTGAAAGCATGGAAAGAGAACAAGTGATAAATATATCCTTTGCATCTCCATCAGGCCACGTCTGAAAACCTAGCATGCTTTTCATATATGTGAGTGGCATCTCAACATTTAGAGTAGTTCTGGAGTTCAGGAGTCTTCCAGCAAACCAATAAGTAAGGATAATACTGTATATACTCGAGTAAAAGCCTAATTATTCAGCCTTTTTACAGCTCAAAAAGTTCCCCTCGGCTTATACTCGAGTCAAAGTGATTTATTATTTTACTCTATTATTATTATTTGAAAAACAATAAGATGAGTCCATAGCAGACAAGATCACTCTGCACAAGACAGTAAAGGTGGTCCCAGTGGTTGTTATTAATAATAATAATAATAATAATTCTGTTTATGGTGACTCTAAAGTGGTTCTGGCTATATTATTATTATTATTATTATTATTATTATTATTATTATTATTATTTGAAACACAACAAGATGAGTCCACAGCAGACACTCTGCTGGCTGTTGAATTGGATTACATGTTTAAGTGCAGGCCAAGGTCTTTAGGCACTGCACCCAGTGTGCCAATCACCACTGGGACCACCTTTACTGGCTTGTGCCAGAGTCTCTGCAGTTCAATCGTTATTATTATTATTATTATTATTATTATTATTATTATTATTATTGTTAGAAACACAACAAAATGAGTCCACAGCAGACACTTTGTTGGCTGTTGTATTGGATCACATGTTTAAGTGCAGGCCAAGGTCTTTAGCACTGAACCCAGTGTGCCAATCACCACTGGGACCACCTTTACTGGGTTGTGCCAGAGTCTTTGCAGTTTGGTCGTTATTATTATTATTATTATTATTATTATTATTATTATTATTACATTTATTATTATTAACACAACAAGATGAGTCCACAGCAGACACTCTGTTTGCTGTTGTATTGGATCACATGTCGGACACTTCCCAAGTGTCTAGGATCGTGTGGTGTATCGGCAAATAATGCATGCAGATCCCAGTAAGGTAGCCTTTTGCAAGTGGCAGATGGTAATTCTGTCATCGCCAATTGTGTTTAAGTGCAGGCCAAAGTTTTTGGGCACCCAATGGGGGGTTGTTATTATTATTATTATTATTATTATTATTATTATTACATTTATCATTTTACTCTATTATTATTGCATTTATTATTTTACTTTATTATTGTTATTATTACATTTATTATTTTACTCTATTTATTATTATAGTTACATTTATTATTTTATAATAATAATAATAATAATAATAATAATAATAATAATAATAATAATAATTTATTTATATACCACTCTATCTCTCCTAGGGGACTCAGGGCAGTTTCCAAATCGTAAAACACAAAAACATACAAAGTAAACCAAACATAGGCATAAAATTATCAACACAAGACATACACATTAAAACCACTCCCACCTTATTCTTCCATGCTTAGCAGCTGAGGGGGAAAAGGAAAGGGCCTGAGGCTCTTAGGAATGGTGGAAGTTGAAGTCCAAAATACCTGGAGGGCCAAAATTTGCCCATGCCTGCAATATGCTTACAGCTCTGGAGATTTCCTATCAATGCAGATAAATCTTCAAGGAGTGCAGCAAGAGGAGCCTTGACCCAGACACAAAACCTCTGCAAACTCAGTGTCAATGGAGGCCGCAATTGGCATGAGAAGACCCCCACCCACCCCACTCCGGCCTTACCGACTGCTGGCAGTTGACTCCCAGGCTGCCCTTCTCTCCCCGCACGACTTTCATGAGGCAGTGGAGGGTGCGGCCCTTGCGGTGCAGACCCGAGCAATGGTGCTCAATCTCGGTGCGGCAGCCGAGGATGATCTCCGGGCTCAGCGAGAAGTCCTCCATCAACATGCGCCGATAGTCCAGCATTTCTCCCTGGCATTCGCTGCTCACCTGCCGACCTGAGGAGAGTCATGGAGAGACACCAGGTTGTAAGAGAGGGCTGCCAACACATTTCTATCGTCTTCCTGTAGCTTTAGGGAAGTAACAATGACAGTTAAAGTCTCAGCTCACAATGGGATGAGGTTTCCTGATGCCAGAAAGTGGCCCAAGTGAGAATATCTCTAACTCCCATTCTCTGATCCTGATAAGAGGCACAACCAATGGGATAGCGTGTTAGATAAAAATGGCAAAGCATTTCAAATCATAAAATTTATTTATTTATTTATTTGTTTATCGTGTCAGGAGCAAACCAAACAGTTGTATTGCATTTTTTTAAACAAACAAACAAAGCACAAACTTTGCAAGCTTGGTAGTTGATTAAATGTCCTTTGACCAGTATCTGGCCACTTGGAGTGCCTCTGGTGTTGCTGCAAGAAGGTCCTCCCTTGTGCATGTGGCAGGGCTCAGGTTGCATTGCAGCAGGTGGGCAGTGGTTTGCTCTTCTCCACACTCGCATGTCGTGGATTCCACTTTGTGGCCCCATTTCTTAAGGTTGATTCTGCATCTCGTGGTGCCAGAGCGCAGTCTGTTCAGCGCCTTCCAAGTCGCCCAGTCTTCTGTGAGTCTCTCATTTGGTATCAGCCATCGATTGAGGTTCTGGGTTTAAGCCTGCCACTTTTGGACTCTCGCTTGCTGAGGTGTTCCAGCGTGTGTCTCTGTAGATCTTAGAAAACTATGTCTTGATTTAAGTCGTTGACGTGCTGGCTGATACCCAAACAGGGGATGAGCTGGAGATGTCACTGCCTTTGTCTTTTCACTATTGCCTGCTACTTCCCGGCGGATGTCAGGTGGTGCAATACCAGCTAGACAATGTAATTTCTCCAGTGGTGTAGGGCACAGACACCCCGTGATAATGTGACATGTCTCATTAAGAGCCACATCCACTGTTTTAGTGTGGTGAGATGTGTTTTAGTGTGGTGAGATGTGATTTAGATTAATGTGTAATTCGGTTGTTGTGATTTTGTATGTTTTTGTAGACTGTTTTTACATGTTGTACACCGCCGCGAGTCGCCCCAGGGCTGAGAGCGGCGGTCAACAAATGAAGTAAATAAATAAATAAATAAATAAATAAATTCCACACTGGGCATGCATACTCAGCAGCAGAGTAGCATAGCGCAAGGGCAGATGTCTTCACTATGTCTGGTTGTGATCCCCAGGTTGTGCCAGTCAGCTTTTGTATATGATATTGTTACTTATTATTTTTTATTATTTATTTACGACATTTATATGCCGCCCTTCTCATCCTGAAGGGGACTCAGAGTGGCTTACAAGATATATATATATACATTGTTGTTGTTCATTCGTTCAGTCGTCTCCGACTCTTCGTGACCTCATGGACCAGCCATATATATACATACAATATATTATATTATTAGCATAGTACAATATCAGTATTAAATATTACTATATTGTACTATACCATTTCTAGCACCTACTTTTTGCTTGATATTCAGGCAGTGCTTCAGATAAGCGACCAGAAGTGACTTATTTACATGAAACAATTGGGGAAAGTGTCCTGGAGGATGGAGCGGAGCCATGTTTATCCTGCAAGTGTTCTTTTCTCTCCTTTTCATCCAATGCAAGCGAGGCACTATGCATATCCTTTGGAGCCGGTGCTTGAATTTTGTGAGAGCCAAGGGAGCATGATCCAAGTCCTCCATTGTAGCCTCCCTGTATTAGGGGTACTAGGGAAGATCTTTCGGAAACTTCATTTAGTTGCGGGATAGAGCAGCGATGCTGTTTATGGCTGAGCAACATCAGTGACTAGTCAATTTCCAAGCCAGACTCAGAGTGTCAACATTGACCTTTAAAGCTCTGAAGCGGAGTCTGCCTGAAGGAAGGCCTTTGCCCGTATGTTCCTGCTTGTTTGTGAGGACTCCTTGTGTTTCCACTCGTTTCTGGTTACCAAGAAATAAATCCTCCTTTTTAAAATGACTGTAAATAGCCAAGGACGGGAGGAGGGAAAAGCTTCTCCCAGAGGGAAGAAATAATTTACTGCATAGGCTTGCGTACAGAATTGGTTTCTTTTGATGTACTCCTATTTGACGTAGTTGGAAACAGTTCTGATGCTGAAGCCCATGTGATGCTTTCCATAGCCTTGTGTGGTTTTGCTCAGGCTGATGTCCTACAACGTATGTGTCAAACCCAAGGCCCATGGGCCGAATCTAGCCATGTCATTGTATGTAGCCCTCCAGATGCTTGATGCCAACTCTGTGCACAAGCCTAATCAATATATCACATGCTCATCAAACAGTATTTTATTTTATGATTTTTAATTATTTTTATGAAGGGGCAGAAGGTTTCATCTATGCTGACGATCGTGCCATCACCACTCAAGCAGGGAGCTTTGAGATGGTTGAACAGAAGCTCTCGGTAGCTCTAGGTGCTCTTACTGCCTATTACAGGGAAAACCAGCTGATCCCTAATCCATCTAAAACACCAAAGGATTACCATCTCACCCGCCTCTTAGGAAACCTGATACAAAACAGGAGCTTTTTTGTTGAGTTCAGGGCCAGAGAAGCAGATGGCGGAAACAGAAGAACGGCCTGCCTCAGGGGGGCGTGCTTGCTCCATCCATGTTCAACATCTACACAAATGTCCAGCCACTGCCAGAAGGGACAGAGAGTTTCATCTATGCTGATGATCATGCCATCACCGCTCAAGCAGGGAGCTTTGAGATGGTTGAACAGAAGCTCTCCAAAAGCTCTCGGCGCTCTCACTGCCTGTTACAGGGAAAACCAGCTGATCCCTAATCCATCTAAAACACAGACATGTGCTTTTCACCTTAAGAACAGACAAGCATCCCAAGCTCTGAGGATGACCTGGGAAGGAATCCCACTGGAGCATTGCAGCGCACCCAGATACCTGGGAGTCACCCTGGACTGTGCTCTGACCTACAAGAAGCACTGCCTGAACATCAAGCAAAAAGTGCGTGCTAGAAACAATATCATACGAAAGCTGACTGGCACAACCTGGGAATCACAACCAGACACAGTGAAGACATCTGCCCTTGCGCTATGCTACTCTGCTGCTGAATATGCATGCCCAGTGTGGAACACATCTCACCACGCTAAAACAGTGGATGTGGCTCTTAATGAGACATGCCGCATTATCACAGGGTGTCTGCGCCCTACACCACTGGAGGAATTACACTGTTTAGCGATTTACATGGTTTGTAGTTTTCTTGTACTGACTCTTTGTCTGCTGTGCTTTGAGAAGTTTCTCAAAGCAGGTTCTTGGCTTTCCTTTACTTCTTCTTCTTCTTCTTCTTATTATTATTATTATTATTATTATTATTATTATTATTATTAGAATGCCAAGTTTGCAAACGTTGTGTTTTTTTTTAAAAAAAAAATACAATACAACTGTTTGGTTCACTCCTGACACAATAAATAAATAAATATGTAAATAAGGGGTGTCATTTGTGTATGGGACCTCAGAGGCCAATCCCACCAGCTTACACAAAACCAATCCAGCCAATTATTCAAAGGAAGTGTTTTGGGTGCCCCCCACCCTCACATTGCTGTTCATTTGGAGGGCTTTCCACACATTTCTCAACTGGAAACGGCACAGATGGTGTCTTCCAAGGGGGTTGGACTGGATGGCCTTTGGGGATCCCTTCCAACACTATGAGTCTATGAACTCAAAATAAAAGGATGCTCTCTCTCTCTCTCTCTCTCTTTCCTGCCCAAGGTCATCTTGCACAGCAACCAAGGCAGCCTCCGCTCCAAATCCGGGCCCAAAGCCAAACCCAAATGGCTCCAGGGAGTCGGCATCATTCAGAAGCGCCTGAAGCGGAACGGCAAATGACCGGAAAGCTCCCGCCGCGAAGGCGTCCGAACAAGATGCTACGGGGGCAGAAAGGCAACGCTTTAGTCAGGTCTTTCCGAGGGATGCATGGCCCAGAACTCAAACCGCCCTCTCCTTTGGAAAAGGACTATTCAGCAGAGAAGAGCCTGAGGGCACAGCCTTGGGCTTTGGGAACGGGAGATGTAGTTCTGCTGTTCTTGCTTTCATCCTTGGCCTTCTCTCTGATTAAGTTGTAGCAGATTGCAGTCTGGACTGCGCAAGGTTGCGAAGAGGCACAGAAGAAATGCACACTGTCATAGATCATGGATTAACAGAGTTGGAAGAGACCACATGGGCCATCTAGTCCAACCCCTCTTCCATGCAGGAAAACCACAAGAGCTGGGCATGCTTAGCCTGCAGAAGAGAATATCAAAATGAGACATGAGGAGGGCCAGGGATCAAGATGTGAAAGGAAGGAACCTGAGGATGTTATGAATTGTGGGAGTTGCAGTCCAAAACACCTGGAGGGGCCAAGTTTGCCCATGCCTGTTTGGGACCCGCCTACCTTTGTGACCATATCTCCTTCCATGAACCAACTGAGGCCCTCTGTTTTTCTGGGGAGGCCCTTCTTTCACCCCTGCCAATTTCACAAGCTTACCTAGTAAGTACAAGGGAGAGAGCTTTTTCCTCTGTGGCCCCCCGACCCTGGAACTCACTACCTGGAGAAATTAGGAAACCCTCTACCTTAGAAACCTTTAAAAAGGACCTTAAAACCTGGTTCTTCCACTGCACTTTTGATGAATAGGTTTAGATTCTCACACAATTGCTTAGCCTCAACATTTTGTGTCCCCCCCCCCCCTTTGTGGGAACGTGTGATTCCACAACCCCCGCTATAATGAGTCCTCCTCCGCAAACAATCTGTCTCTCTCTTGTCTCGCCTGAGTTTTAATTAGTTTTAATCAGTCTCTCTTTTAATCATTACATGTAGCCTGCCCATTGTCATTGTGATTGTGCCCATTGTAATTTTATATTGCTATGTTTTCATATGTTTTATGCAATTATGTTGTTTGTTGTTTATTGTTTGCGTTTTTGGTTTTATTTTATTGTAATTTGCTGTTTGGGCTTGGCCTCATGTAAGCTGCTCCAAGTCCTCATTGGGGAGATGGTGGCGGGGTATAAATAAAGTTTATCATTATATTATTATTAAACCTAAGACATTTCCATCATCATTATCATATGGAGATGTAGCTGAAATGTGGATGACCCGAAAATGTGGATAATAGCAATCCCTACATTTTGAAGCATATCCGTTCTGGAAAGGAATATTTTTGGATTGTCGGTAAGTGAAACTATGGGTATCAACTCCATGGATGCATTGAGAAAACTGCCTCTAGGAGCAGCGGTGGCACCACCACAAACACCAGCATTCTTGGCAAGAACAAACCCGCTCCTCAACAAATGCCTTCTTTCTCATGCTCATTCCCTCCCTTTCATTGGAATGGCAGAGACATTATATTCCTCAGAAAGTAGAATAGGGATTTTTTCTATTTCTGAATTTCACTCTCAAAATGTGCGCCCTACACCACTGGAGAAATTACACTGTTTAGCCCAGGGGTCCTCAAACTGAGGCCCGGGGGGCGGATACGGCCCTCCAAGGTCATTTACCCGGCCCTCGCTCAGTGTCAACCTAAGTCTGAAACGACTTGAAAGCACAACAACAAAAACAACAATCCTATCTCATCAGCCAAAAGCAGGCCCACACTTCCCATTGAAATACTAGTAAGTTTATATATGCTAAAATTGTTCTTCATTTTACTTATTGTATTGTTTTTATGTGTTTTTTGCACTACAAAAAAGATATGTGCAGTGTGAATAGGAATTCATTAATCCTTTTTTCAAATTATAACCCGGCCCTCCAAAAGTGTGAGGGACTGTGACCTGGCCCTCTGTTTAAAAAGTTTGAGGACCCCTGGTTTAGCCGGTATTGCACCACCTGACATCCGCCGGGAAGTAGCAGCCAATAGTGAAAGGACCAAGGCAGTGACATCTCCAGCTCATCACCTATTTGGACATCGGCCAGCATGTCAACGACATAAATCAAGGAATAGTTTTCTAAGATCTACAGAGACACTCGCTGGAACACCTCAGCAAGCGAGAGTCCAAAAGTGGCAGGCTCAAACCCAGAACCTCAATCCATGGCTGAAACCAAATGAGAGACTCCCTCCCGGCCACACAGAAAGCTGGGCGACTTGCAAGGTGCTGAACAGACTGCGCTCTGGCACCACCAGATGCAGAGCCAACCTTAGGAAATTGGGCCACAAAGTGGAAACCACGACATGCGAGTGTGGAGAGGAGCAAACCACAGACCACCTGCTGCAATGCAACCTGAGCCCTGCCACATGCACAAGGGAGGACCTTCTTGCGGCAACACCAAAGGCACTCCAAGTGGCCAGATACTGATCAAAGGACATTTAATCAACTACCAAGCTTGCAAACATTGTGTTTTGCTTGTTCGTTAGTTAGTTAAAAAATGCAATACAACTGTTTGGTTTGCTCCTGACACGATAAATAAATAAATACTCCCAAAATGACAACAGTGGGATGAATCTCTGGGAGAGACATAACCACAGCAACAGTCAAAGGGGACAAAATATGTCAAATGAGAAAGAGAAAACAACATTAGATTGGGTCAGATAACACCTCTGTATTTTAACTCTGTACTGTGTTACATGTGCCTTAATAGTGTTTTATTACTTCTTTCTCCCCCCATGAATTTTATTATTATTGTTTCCAAAGTGTACACATTATAGCATACCTATTGGTATATAAAGCTACCAAGAGTAATAATTTTGCACTTTATAATAATAGTAAAACTTATGTATCTTATTTAAAAGAAAACTTTCGCACCCTACACCGAGATAGGGTCTTACAACATTTTGTCCTATCAAAGCTCTCAACAAACAATGTGTGTGTGTGTGTGTGTGTGTGTGTGTGTGTGTGTACACATACTCACACAATTTACATAAAGTATTCAGAGGTGGACAACTGTACAGCATCTATATAATTAAACCGTAATGTTAGTTTGTGGGATTAACATAACTCAAAAACCACTGGATGAATTGACACCAAATTTGGACACAAGACACCTCTCAGGCCAACGAGTGACCATCACTCATAAAAACACTGAAAAACACAGCGGAAGGGACGTAACAAGCCAAAAAAGCCAAAAGATGTTATAGCACATGTGCAAAAATGACTCCCCCTGGCAAACAAAACACACAATAGCATATCCACACTCTCTTCTGAACTACAGCTCCCAGCATCCCCTAGACCAGGCCCTTTAGGGGAGAAGGATGATCCAAATGCACTGCTTCCAAGATGCAAACTTCCTTCTCCTTGGATTTTTTTTGAGAGCATCCCAATCCCGGCATATTTCCAATTTCCTATTCCTGGACTGCAACTCCCAGCAATCCTCCAGATAGATTGATTAGATAGAGATAGATAGGTATATTGATCGATCTATCAGGAGGACTGCTGGGAGTTGCAGTCCAAGAATAGGTAGAGAAAGAAGAAAGGGGAGAAAGGGGAAAGGAAAGAAAAGGTGGGGGTGGAAGGAAAGAAGAGAAGGAAGGAAGTAAAGAAAGAAAGAAAAAAAGGAAGGAAGGACTGTGAGAGGGAAGGAAGAAGAGAAAGAAAGAAAGAAAGAAAGAAAGAAAGAAAGAAAGAAAGAAAGAAAGAAAGAAAAAAAGAAGAGAAAGAGGGAGGGAAGGTTGGCCACAGCAATGCGTGACAGGATGCACTAGTCCAGAGGTCCTCAAACGAAGGCTTGGGGGCCGGATACGGCCCTCCTAGGTCATTTACCCGGCCCTTGCTCAAGGTCAACCTAAGTCTGAAACGACTTGAAAGCACACAACAACAACAACAACAATCCTATCTCATCAGCCAAAAGCAGGTCCACACGTCCCATTAAAATACTAATAAGTTTATATTTGTTAAAATTGTTCTTCATTTTAATTATTGTATTGTTTTAAAGTGTTTTTTGCACTACAAATAAGATATATGCAGTGTGCATAGGGATCCATTCATGTTTTTTTCAAATGATAATCCAGCCCTCCAACAGTTTGAGGGACTGTGACCTGGCCCTCTGTTTAGAAAGTTTGAGGACCCTTACGCTAGTCTATATACATAATAATGCAATGCTTGTTTGTGGGGACCTCATAACTCAAAAACCACTGGATGAAAAACACCAAATTTGGCCACAAGACACCTACTAACCCAAGGAGTGACCACTGCTCAAAAAACCACCAACGAAACAGCAAAAAGAACTCTAAAATCCAAAAAAAGGACAACAAAGTGCATGCACACAAATGATTTCATTGGCCCCGCCCCCTCCTGCGTGAGTAAACAGCAAGCACGAGAGACACCGATGACCATCCTCGCTCTTCTGGCCCGAGCAAGAGCTAGGAATGGACGACACAATGGTGGGTCTGGCGAGGGGGGAGCCTCACCTGCCGCCAGACAAGGAAGGAAAGAAGGAGAGACGAAAGAAGGAGAGAAAGAGGGAGAGAAGGAAAGATGGAAGCAAAGAGCAAAGGAAGGAAGGAAGGAAGGAAGGAAGGAAGGAAGGAAGGAAGGAAGGAAGGAAGGAAGGAAGGAAGGAAGGAAGGAAGGAAGGAAGGAAAGAGGTAGAGAAGGAAGAAAGGAGAAAAAAGAAAAAAGGGAAAGAAAAAAGGGAGGGGAAGGAAAGAAAGAGGTAGAGAAGGAAGGAAGGAGAGAAGGAAAGTAAAAAAGGAAAGGAAGGAAAGAGGGAGGGAAAGGAGGAGAGAAAGAGGGAGGAAGAGGAAGGGAAGGTTGGCCACAGCAACGCGTGGCGTGTAAAGCTAGTTTATCATAATCATGCTCTTCTGACAATGTATTTTTAATCACTCAATGCTAAAATAATAGTAACAATAATAATAATTTTAGTTCTTACCCGCCATTCCTCGTGGCTCAAGGCCAGACTAGTCTTTAAATATTCTACTTACTCTCACACCAGAAGCGACTTGCAGTTTCTCAAGTCATTCCTGACACGAAAAGGTAAAGTACCGTATATATTCTGCAAAAGGCTTCCAATTATTTTGAGAACATTGTATTGTTTTATTTCTAAGGAGACAAGTTATCGAATTGTACAAAAATTGATCAGTTTGGTCACCCATTTTATCTTTTGTTGTAACAATTTTATACCCTGCTCAAGCCACAGGGAGAGGCAGATAATATTTGCGTTGTGTTCAGTGAATCAGTACGTCGCTGTGAGTTTTCTGTGCTGTGTGGCCATGTTCTATTAGCATTATCTCCTGACTTTCTGCCTTCATTTGTGGCTGGCATCTTCAGAGGTTCTGACTCTCCGAAGCTGTCAGTCACAGATGCAGGCAAAACGTCAGGAGAGAATGCTACTGAAACATGGCCAGACAGTACAGAAAACACACAGCAACCAAATACTTTTTTTTGTTTGTTGTTATTATTATTATCATGATGATACTATCCCCCATCCCAGACGTTACCTCTGTGCACGGCAGATTCCAGGCACATGAGCAGGTAGGAGAGGCGGGCCTCCCGGGAGCGAGGCAGGTTCTCCACGTTGCAGCGGTACTTCTTCAGGTCGCTTTTGCAGGACTTTGCCAAGGAGTAGCTGACCTTGTAGTCTTGTGCAATCAGCTTTTGCCGTGTTGTCAAGGCATCGCGACACTGAGGAAGAGGAGGAGGAGGAGAAACAAGCTTTCAAGTGAACCTTCTCTGGGGTACAGCCAAGAGGTCACCTTCAACTAGGGATGGAGTAGCACAGAAAGTAGCCACTGGGATGCCATTCTCCAGAGAGAAAGGTCCCACTGATGAACTTCAACACCCTAAATTTCATTTCACATATGTTTCCTGTTCCCCAAGTGCCCTGACTATCTATCTATCTATCTATCTATCTATCTATCTATCTATCTATCTATCTATCTATCTATCTATCTATCTATCTATCTACACACACTACTAGCGGTCCCCTGCCAGGTGTTGCTGTGGCCCAGTTTGGTGATCTGGAAAATAAAGTAATGAGAAAGTGTTGGTTTCTCATATAGGTATTGTCTTTCTGCTTGTGGGTAAACAGTATTTCTTGCTGTTTCTTTGCCAGTGTTGATGTGGAGATAGTCTGGTTTGCCCACTCTGGAACATGCAACATATAATTGTCCTTCTTTAGGGGTCCCTTTCAAATCTATGATATTGCATCTGTCAAATACATATATGTGTGTGTGTGTGAATGGCTGGGTGGCCCTTTGTCAGGAGGGCTTTGATTATGTTTTCTTGCCCTGGTGAAGGGAGTTGGACTGGATGGCCTTAAGGCAGCATTTCTCAACCTAGGAAGTCAAGACCCTGGGTGGGGAGGGGTCACCAGGGGGGTGTCAGAAGAGTCAGAAAGACCACCAGAAAACAGTATTTTCTGTTGGTCATGGGAGTTCTGTGTGGGATGTTTGGCCCAATTCCATCATTGGTGGGGTTCGGAGTGACTGGGATTTATAGTTCACCTACAATCAAAGAGCATTCTGAACTCCACCAATGATGGAATTGAACCAAACTTGGCACACAGAACTCCCATGAACAGAAAATACTGGAAGGGTTTGGTGGGCATTGGCCTTGAGTTTTGGAGTTGTAGTTCACCTACATCCAGAGAGCACTGTGGACTCAAACAATGATGGATCTGGACCAAACTTGGCATGAATCCTCAATATGCCCAAATGTGAACATTGGTAGAGTTTGGGGAAAATAGACCTTGACATTTGGGAGTTGTAGTTGCTGGGATTTATAGTTCACCTATAATCGAAGAGCACTCTGAACTCCACCGACGATGGAATTGAACCAAACTTGGCACACAGAACTCCCTTGACTAACAGAAAATACTGGAAGGGTTTGGTGGGCATTGAACTTGACTGTTCAACTCCCAATAGTCAAGATCAATGCCCACCAAACCCTTCCAGTATTTTCTGTTAGTCAAGGGAGTTCTGTGTGCTAAGGTTGGTTCAATTCCATCCTTGGTTTTGGAGTTGTAGTTCACCTACATCCAAAGAGTGCTGTGGACTCAAACATCGATGAATCTGGGCCAAACTTGGCATGAATCCTCAGTTTGCCCAAATGTGAACACTGGTGGAGTTTGGGGAAAATAGACCTTGACATTTGGGAGTTGTAGTTGCTGGAATTTATAGTTCACCTACAATCAAAGAGCATTCCAAACCTCACCAATGATGGAATTGGGCCAAACTTCCCACACAGAATCCCAATGACCAACAGAAAATGACCCCCAGGCTGAAAAACACTGAACTAGAATAAGTAGTAGTACAGAACTGACAAAGCAGTACTATATATAACACTATGTGAATAATAATAATAATAATAATAATAATAATAATAATAACTGACAGCAGTACTATATATAACACTATGTGAATAATAGGATAGGGGCCGGGGGAGTAGAGATATGGGAATAGTCAACGCAACAATGCAATTGTATTGTGTTACATGTTTTTTTTAAATAAAAGAATTGAAATTAGACATGAAGGGGTCACATTAGACACAATGGGGAAGAGACAACATCTCGTCACTCAGATTTAACACCTACCTTTTCACTCATCGACTCTTCAAATTTGTGGTTAAAGAGACACTTGTAAACCCGTCCTTCTCCAGCTTGAGTCTGTGCAAAAAAATAAATAAATGAGATGGATGACAGAATGTGCCTGACAACACTTTAGGATAAAGCCAACACACATAAACATGTACGCGTATACACTCACAAACATGTCTTTTTAACAAACCTCAGGCATGCACTAGAACTAATTTAAAGGGACTGCTTGTACAACAACTAAACTATTTGCAATGCACGCTTGGGAAATGGATTGTATTGCTTTATTTTTATGTTTATTGTGTATCGTCTCCAAAAAATGTCCATACACATAACTTGCACAATGTTTATCTATTGTGGTGTGCGCTGCAGTATTGCAATCTATCCTTTAGTGAAACAGAATATTCCACAGGTGGTATTTAAACTGGTATTTTAAAATATTGTTTATATTTGATTCTGTTTTAATGTTTGCGTATTTGTATATTTTAAATGGTATGCTAATGCTTTTATGCTAAGCCGCTTTGAGTCTCCTATGGGGGAAATAAAGTGGAGTGTAAATAAATATTTAACCACAGTGGCGGAAAGGGTTAAACCGTTGTGTTGCTAAATTGCTAATCTAATGGTTGGCAGTTTGAATTTGCAAGACGGGGTGAGCTCCCGTATGTCAGCTCCAGTTCCTGCCAACGTAGCAGTTTGAAAACATGCAAATGTGAGTAGATAAATAGGTACCGCTTTAGCGGGAAAAGGCAAAAAAACACTCCAAGCAATATTGTTGGCCATATAACCAGGAGGTGACAATGCAGGCTTCTCAGCTTGAAAATGGGAGAAAACACCTCCCTAGAGCCAGAGATGAGCACCACCTCCAGAAGCCGGAAATGAAAGGAGAAGCCTCTGCCTTTGTTTGTGTTTGTGTGTCTCATTGTATATGATTGTAAAGGCATTGAATGTTTGCCTATATATGTAAATGCTGGAAATGAAAGGAGAAGCCTCTGCCTTTGTTTGTGTTTGTGTGTCTCATTGTATATGACTGCAAAGGCACTGAATGTTTGCCTATATATGTAAATGCCGGAAATGAAAGGAGAAGCCTCTGCCTTTGTTTGTGTTTGTGTGTCTCATTGTATATGATTGTAAAGGCACTGAATGTTTGCCTATATATGTAAATGCCGGAAATGAAAGGAGAAGCCTCTGCCTTGTTTGTGTTGGTGTCTCATTGTATATGATTGTAAAGGCATTGAATGTTTGCCTATATATGTAAATGCTGGAAATGAAAGGAGAAGCCTCTGCCTTTGTTTGTGTTTGTGTGTCTCATTGTATATGACTGCAAAGGCACTGAATGTTTGCCTCTATATGTAAATGCCGGAAATGAAAGGAGAAGCCTCTGCCTTTGTTTGTGTGTCTCATTGTATATGATTGTAAAGGCATTGGATGTTTGCCTATATATGTAAATGCTGGAAATGAAAGAAGAAGCCTCTGCTTTTGTTTGTGTTTGTGTGTCTCATTGTATATGATTGTAAAGGCATTGGATGTTCGCCTATATATGTAAATACCAGAAATGAAAGGAGAAGCCTCTGCCTTTGTTTGTGTTTGAGTCTCACTGTATATGATTGTAAAGGCACTGAATGTTTTCATATATATGTAAATACCAGAAATGAAAGGAGAAGCCTCTGCCTTTGTTTGTGTGTCTCATTGTACGTGATTGTGGAACATAAATAAAGTGTCTATTATTATTATTATTATTATTATTATTATTATTATTATTATTATTATTATTGGAGCTGTATTTTTTCCACCTTGAAAAAGAATTGATGAATTATTGCAAAAGCTAAGTAAAGCAAAAGGGAGCCTAGTTATATATCAGAGAAAGAAAATTCAAATGTTGATAATGTGATAGACAAATACAGTTCACTTTAGGTATGCATCCAAAAAGTGTAGTTGCAAATTTGAAGATTTTTCATTAAACAAAAGGAAAGCATATACTATTCTCTTTACATTATTACAAGTATTTCAATACAACAATGCCCACACAACAGTCTCAGTATATGTGGATATAACGTTTAAGACAAATGTGCTAAACCAAGGAGCAATATTTGGAGTTCTAGGCAATCCCGATAGCTCATGGACACTTTCTTATATTAGGAGGCAGGGAAGGTGGGACCTTTTTTCATCAAGGGAAAGGAGGACCAACTTACGTTTTCACAGAAACGCTCCCGATCGTCCCGGCAAGCAAAGTAGAGGTGCCGGTCCAGGTGGAAGTCGTCGGAAGAGAGCTCCGCCACGCGAAGGATGGCCTTCTTGCAGATGTCCGAGACCCTGATCCGGGGCTCCCTTTCCTCTGCCTCCTTCACCAGGCCTTTCTCCAGGCAAGCCACAACTTCACCTTGGGAATGGGCATCCTGTGTGCAGAAAAGGACGTGAAGCAAAAGTAGAAAACAACGTACATTCAATCACTTCTCCCCCCATTGCGACTGTGCAATGAGGCAGCGATAGGAACCTTTAGTATGCCAACCAAATTAGATATGGTTGTTGAGACGGTTTTAACTAGTGGGTTTTAACATCAAGATATGTGACTTTAATGCTTTTGTACGTGTATGGTATGTTTGCCGTTTATATGTTGTGCTCTGCCCTGAGTCCCCTTCGGGGTGAGAAGGGCGGAATATAAATGCTTTAAATAAAATAAAATAAATAATACCCTGGTTACTGTCATCCAAATGGAATCTTTCATCCAAGCAAGGTTGTTTTATTTTATTTTAATTTTATTATCATTTATTATTTTAATGTCATTTTGATAATGTTATTGTTGTCTGATGTATATGCTTTGATTTTATTGCTGTATTATGTTGTCAGGGCTTGGCCCCATGTAAGCCGCACCGAGTCCCAATTGGGGAGATAGTGGCGGGGTAGAAATAAAGTTTATTACACTGTTCTACAAATTTTCAGTTTTTCTCAGTTGCGGAAACGAAATGTGCCGTTTCTTAATAAATTTAACATGCTGAATTCAAATATAATAATTAAATGTGTTAATTGGCTCTGGTTTTTATGCAACAGCTATTTCAATTTTCTCCACAATAGGTAATTCGTTAATATTATGATAATGCGCCTAACCTTACTGCATGTATATAAACCGTGAATATTTACTAAATTTTAGTCAAATTATGTTGCCAATAGTTTATACATGAGAAATACTTATTTAATTAGTCTATTGTTTATGTTTGTGCAGCAAGAAACTCTATTAGTAGGCCTAATGCCGTTGAAAAGTCTGAAAGTTTAAATGTCGCTTTAATCGTGACTTTAGTTTAAATCCTGTTTGCTTCTCTTGACTTTTCTTGTGTATTCAAGGAAAGGATTCCCTCTTCCAATGCTCCAGCAGGAGTCTGACAGCATTGACGGAGTCCATTGGCCTTGATAGCTTTTTTCCATAGTGCTTTATTTACACACGTGTGAGGCAGAACTACAGTCAAAAGAACAATGTCAAACGATGTTTAACGAGACTGTCTCAGTCTCGTTAAACATCGTTTAACGACTGACTGACCCTCACCGTTTAACAACTGACTGACCCTCACCGTTCACAAGTCTGGCCTTATATAGGGCTTTCTGGCTTTTGCACACGGCACTAATACTGCATCATCAAACTTTCTAGAATATTCTAGAATCTTCCATAGTGTAAGTCGCAACATACATTTTTTCAACCATACGTGATCACGTGATTGCTTATATCATAAAAACTAGAGCCAATATACATTTTTAAATATCATTTTCGTTTTCAGCACCCCAAAATCATAAAAGAACAGCTATTTTCAGGCCCGCAACTTTCTAGAATCTTCCATAGTGTAAGTCGCAACATGCATTTTTTCAACCATACATGATCACGTGATTGCTTATATCATAAAAACTAGAGCCAATATACATTTTTAAATGTCATTTTCGTTTTCAGCACCCCAAAATCATAAAAGAACAACTATTTTCAGGCCCGCAACTTTTTCTCCGTTGAACAGTGTTATTATTATTATTATTACTATTATTATTATTATTGTTGTTGTTGTTGTTATTTCCCCACCACTTCCCCCCAAAACAGAGCCAGAATCAGGCCCTTTTTAAAGAACCGGGTTACCTTTTCGCCGGGCCGGACGCTGCCGCACTTCAGGAGATTGATATCATTCCGACAGTCGTCCATGAAGCCACAGATCAGGCGGTAGTCGCTGAAAATGACAGCTGTCATTTTGGTGATGTACTGGTGGCACTGGTATTCCGTGATGTTTCCTCTGTGGTCCACCAAGCAGGAAACGAGGTAGCCTTTTCCCATTGGCTCATCGGCACACTCTTTGATCTAAGGAGGGAATAAATATATCCGCTAAGGTTGGACAACTGCATTGTCCATACTTTCCCATCTCCTGGTACTAAGAGTTCCAACGTCGGTGTCAGTATCAAATGACAGTACGCTAAAGACGTATAAGAAAAACTCAGCCTTTCCAAAAGGCACCCGAGGAATGAAATGCTGGTTTCACCTCCCCTCTCTGAGGAACAAAGATGGACGTCGGAAATGGGCAGGTTTCAGGTTGAGAGGACCATTACGGCAAAGGTGCAATCAGCCCCATGAGACGCAATTATTAGCATTTTCTAGACCTGAGAAGGTGGTGAAGGGCAGCCAGACACTAGAGAAAGAGCGGAAGAGAAGATCTCAATCACAGTCAAGGGCTGGATCATTCAGGTCCTTGAAAACCAACTTAAAAGGGAGTTAAGTTTGATTTTCTTTTTCATGTCAGGAGCAACTTGAGAAATTGCACATCGCTTCTGGTGTGAGAGAATTGGCCGTCTGCAAGGATATTGCCCAGGGGATGCTTGGATGTTTTACCATCCTTTGAGAGGCTTGTCTCGTGTCACCGCATGAGAAGCTGGAGCTGACAAACAGGAGCTCACCCCTCCCCCCCCCCCCACACACACACATATATACTAGCCATCCCCTGCCATGTGTTGCTGTGGCCCAGTCTATGTATATGTGTTTTGTGTATGTATATATCTGTGTATATACCTGCCTACCTGCGTGACCGCATCTCCGTTTATGAACCCACGCGTTCCCTTCGTTCATCCGGAGAGGCCCTGCTCGTGATCCCACCTGCGCCGCAGGCACGTTTGGTGGGGACGAGGGACAGGGCCTTTTCTGTGGTAGCCCCCCAACTTTGGAACACCCTCCCCAAGGACATCAGACAAGCCCCTACACTGGCAGTCTTTAGGAAGAGCTTGCAGACCTGGCTGTTCCGGTGTGCCTTTCCAGAATAGGAAACTCCAGCAATATGTCCCAGAAGCACTTTATCAGAGAGTTAAGATTGTCTGCACATTGCACTTACCCTAAAATCCTACATGTTACCTGTCATACCCAGGACCTTTTTAATCTGTACCCATTACAGTTGGCCCAGCCCTAGTTTTTAATTGTGTTATGGTGTATTGTTTATCGTCTATTGCTTGATGTTTTTGCTTTGCTTTATAATGTTATGTGTATTGTTATGTTGTTGTTTTTGAGGCCTCGGCCCATGTAAGCCACATTGAGTCCTTCGGGAGATGCTAGTGGGGTACAAATAAAGATAATAATAATAATAATAATAATAATAATAATAATAATAATAAATGTGTATACAATAATAATAATAATACTTTATTTATACCCCGCCACCACCTCCTCAAGGACTCGGAGTGGCTTACATGAGGCCAAGCCCAACAACACATCAAAAACAACAAGCAATAATAAAATAACAAGCAATAAACAATTGTATATAATTGTGTTTGTGTATATATGTGTGGTTTTGCACGTGTTGTAATTTATTTAAATTTTTTTAGCTTTTTAAGTCTCTTCTGCTGTGTTTTTCAGTGTTTTTATGAGTGACTAGCCACCCCCCTGCCAAACGTTGCTGTGGCCCAGTCTGTGTATATGTGTTATGTGTATGTATATATCTGTGTATATGTGTATATATGTGTGTTTGCGTATATATATGTGGTTTTGCACATGTGTTGTAATTTATTTTTTTATTTTTTGGCTTTTTAAGTCTCTTCTGCTGTGTTTCTAAGTGTTTTTATGAGTGACTAGCCATCCCCTGCCACACGTTGCTGTGGCCCAGTCTGTGTATATGTTTTTTGTGTGTGTGTGTATGTGTATATGTCTATATATGTGGTTTTGCGCATGCATTGTAATGTGTTTTTTTTTAATTTTTTTGGCTTTTAAAGTCTCTTCTGCTGTGTTTTTCAGTGTTTTTATGCGTGACTAGCCATCCCCTGCCACGTGTTGCTGTGGCCCAGTCTGTGTATATGTGTTTTGGGTATGTATATATATGTGTGTTTGCATATCTCTATATATGTGAGATTTTGCGCATGTGTTGTAATGATATTAATTTTTTTTTTTGCTTTTTAAGACTCTTCGGCTGTGTTTTTCAGTGTTATTATGAGTGACTAGCCATCCCCTGCCATACATTGCTGTGGCCCAGTCTGTGTATATGTGCTTTGTGTATGTATATATATGTGTGTTTGCATATCTATACATATGTGAGATTTTGCGCATGCGTTGTAATGTTATTATTTTGTTTTTTGGCTTTTTAAGTCTCTTCTGCTGTGTTTTTCAGTGTTTTATGAGCGACCTGCCACGCATTGCAGTAGTCCAGTCTCTGTGTGTATATGTATGTCTATATGTCTATATATGTGGTTTTGCACATGCGTTGTAATGTATTTTTTATTTTTTTTGCTTTTTCAGTCTCTTCCGGTGTGTTTTTCAGTGTTTTTATGAGTGATGGTCGATTGTTGGCCTGAGAGGTGTCTTGTGGCCAAATTTGGTGTCGATTCATCCAGTGGTTTTTGAGTTATGTTAATCCCACAAACGAACATTAGATTTTTATTAATATAGATATATATACATAATATCAATATGCTGCGTTGTAATAAGCCTGGTGTTCTCTTTTAGGAGCTGAGTAGTTGTGTTTTCCTGCCGCTGGCTTCCTGAGCGTACAAAGCAAAGTATGGCAGAGAAGAGAGAGAACATAAGACAAAAAAAAAATCCCAGGTCAGGAAAGGGAGAATAAGGTGTTATTTAACAAAAACAGCCAAAGTTATTAGAGGCAGAACTTCTGCAAAGCGGAAGGGATTGATGAACAAAGAATTCAAAGAGATGACGGTCCCAGACAAAAGGCAGGGATAAACCGAAGCAGTCAAAGGTGACTAAAAGGCCACAAAATAAATAAAAGATCGTGTGATTCTGGTGCTTCTGGTCACTAGATTTCAAAGGCAAGGGCGGACGCTCCTAAATAAGGGGATACGTGGCCCTAAATCCTGTAGGGATAAAAAGGAGAAGACCCTTGATGCTACTAGGTGACTCCATGATGAAATCTGATTTATTATTCTAATCTTTTTCCATATAAATGTGCTTGCACATTCTTCCAATAATAATAGAGTAAAATAATAAATGTAATAAAAATAATAGAGTAAAATAATAATGCAATAATAATAATAAATACAGTGAAATAATAAATGTAATAACAACAATAATAAAGTAAAAATAATGAAGTAAAATAATGGAAATGAAATGATAATAATTAGAGTAAAATAATACATGGAAGAAGGAGGAGGAGGAGGAGGAGGAGGAGGAGGAAAAGAAGAAGTAGTAGTAGAGTACAATAATACTGTTTTGCGAATCTATGGCATTGAATTGTTGCCAATACTGTGAACTGCCCTGAGTCCCCTTTGGGGTTGAGAAGGGCGGTATAAAAATACCACAAATAAATAAATGTAATAATAACAACAATAATAATAATAGAGTAAAATAATACGTGGAAGAAGAAGGAGAAGTAGTAGTAGTAGAGTAAAATAATACTGTTTTGTTAATCTATGGCATTGAATTGTTGCCAATACTGTGAACTGCCCTGAGTCCCCTTTGGGGTTGAGAAGGGCAGTATAAAAATACCACAAATAAATAAATGTAATAATAACAATAATAATAATAATAGAGTAAAATAATAAATGTAATAATAACAAATTAAAATAATACATGAAATAATAATAATAATAATAATAATAATAGAGTAAATTATGGAAATGTAATAATAATAATTAATACATTGAAACAATAAATGTAGTAGTAGTAGTAATAAATAATAATAGTAACAGAGTACAATAATAATAATAAATGCAGATGACACCACTCTGATGGCCGAAAGCGAGGAGGAGCTGAGGAGCCTTCTAATCAAGGTGAAAGAAGAAAGCGCAAAAGCCGGGTTGCAGCTAAACATAAAAAAAAACCAAGATTATGGCAACAAGAATGATTGACAACTGGACAATAGAGGGAGAAAATGTGGAGGCCGTGACAGACTTTGTATTTCTAGGTGCAAAGATCACTGCAGATGCAGACTGAGGCCAGGAAATCAGGAGACGCTTCCTTCTTGGGAGGAGAGCAATGTCCAGTCTCGATAAAATCGTAAAGAGTAGAGACATCAGACTGGCAACAAAGATCCATTGCCTAGTCAAAGCCATGGTCTTCCCTGTAGTCACCTACGGATGTGAGAGCTGGACCTTCAGGAAGGCTGAGCGAAGGAAGAGAGATGCTTTTGAGCTGTGGTGTTGGAGGAAAGTGCTGAGAGTGCCTTGGACTGTGAGAAGATCCAACCAGTCCATCCTCCAGGAAAGAAAGCCCGACTGCTCACTAGGGGGAAGGAGACTAAAGACAAAGTGGAAGTCCTTTGGCCACATCATGAGGAGACAGCAAAGCCTAGAGAAGGGAATGATGCTGGGGAAAGTGGAAGGCAAAAGGAAGAGGGGCCGACCAAGGGCAAGATGGATGGATGGCATCCTTGAAGTGACTGGACTGACCTTGAAGGAGCTGGGGGTGGTGATGGCCGACAGGGAGCTCTGGCGTGGGCTGGTCCATGAGGTCACGAAGAGTCGGAGACGACTGAACGAATGAACAACAACACAATAATAAATAACCTTGACTCAAGTATAAGCGGGTGAGGCTTTTTCAGTCTAAAAAAGGGCTGAAAAACTCGGCTTATACTCAGTATATATGGTCTATGCAATCTGAGTAACAACACCCACTCCCTGCAACACACGCACACAGACATCTTTCTTTCAAGGTGACCTGTTTTCTAAGACTATTGTAGGTTACTAAAACTTTTGACATTTGTACAGACACTGTCTCGAAGAAGGAAAGAAGAAAAAACACAATCAGCACCGATTCGCCTTGAGAGGGAAAAGTACCCGGAAGAGCCTCAGCGGAGCAATACTAAAGAGAAGCATTTTACTGGAAAACGTTATCCGCGACCCGAAGGCAAACACTTTCAGCAATTACACAAGCAATTACGGATTCATCGATGGCTGAGGCCATTCAAGTAAATGCAGAATCCCATCCATCTTTCAAAATTGATGCATACATACGTGCTGTATAATTGCTCAAATAAGTTTGCTGTCGACAGTTAACACATCGCCATAACGGTGATTTCCTGGAGCAAAAGTGAATGATCGAGGCATTTCCCTACCCTGGAAGGTACATAGATTAGAAATTACATTCAAAAGAATCAACAAATCATTCTGGTGGGAAAAAAGAAGCAATGTAAACAATACCATACATTTTACATAAGTCACAGTAAGCCAACAAACTCTCAACCGCTGAGGTTCTTTTAATCATCCATCTACTTAGTTGCTCCACAGGTCCTGAATGTTCCAACTTCCAAGTGAGATAAGTCCCTTCTTCCTGGAATTGCTCTGGGCCATTTAATTATTAATTAGGAGATTTATTATGAACAATGCCTTTTACTATTTGATCACCTTCCCCGGAGAAACAATTATAGAGTTCATCGTAAGAACTCGGAGGAACCTGAGACTGAGGAACACGGCTTCTGCTCTATCATCATTATATGCTACTCTGAGTAACTGAGTAACCTATTTACGAGAAGCTAATGCTCGCAATTTTTTTGGCAAAATCACCTTGCCGAATTAGGATGTGCATTACATTTGCATACTGTATATACTCAAGTATAAGCCATGTACTCAAGTATAAGCCAAGTATAAGCTCTCCGAAGCTCTCTAAAGCTCTAGGTGCTCTTACTGCCTACTACTATAGGAAACCAGCTACAAAACAGGAGCTTTTTTGTTGAGTTCCAGGGCCAGAGAAACAGATGGCGGAAACAGAACGGCCTGCCTCAGGGGAGCGTGCTTGCTCCATCCATGTTCAACATTTACACAAATGACCAGCCACTGCCAGAAGGGACAGAGAGCTTCATCTATGCTGATGATCGTGCCATTACTGCTCAAGCAGGGAGCTTTGAGATGGTTGAACAGAAGCTCTCCAAAGCTCTAGGTGCTCTTACTGCCTATTACAGGGAAAACCAGCTGATCCCTAATCCATCTAAAACACAGACATGTGCTTTCACCTTAAGAACAGACAAGCATCCTGAGCTCTGAGGATGACCTGGGAAGGAATCCCACTGGAGCATTGCAGCGCACCCAAATACCTGGGAGTCACCCTGGACCGTGCTCTTACCTACAAGAAGCACTGCCTGAACATCAAGTAAAAAGTGGGTGCTAGAAACAATATCATACGAAAGCTGACTGGCACAACCTGGGGATCACAACCAGATACAGTGAAGACATCTGCCTTGCGCTGTGCTACTCTGCTGCTGAGTATGCATGCCCAGTGTGGAACACATCTCACCACGCTAAAACAGTGGATGTGGCTCTGAATGAGACATGCCGCATTATCACGGGGTGTCTGCGCCCTACACCACTGGAGAAATTACACTGCTTAGCCGGTATTGCACCACCTGACATCTGCCGGGAAGTAGCAGCCAATAGTGAAAGGACCAAGGCAGAGACATCTCCAGCTCATCCCTGTTTGGGTATCAGCCAGCACGTCAACGACTTAAATCTAGAAATAGTTTTCTAAGATCTACAGAGACACTCGCTGGAACACCTCAGCAAGCGAGAGTCCAAAAGTGGCAGGCTCAAACCCAGCACCTCAATCAATGGCTGATACCAAATGAGAGACTCCCTCCTGGGCACACAGAAGACTGGGCGACTTGGAAGGCGCTGAACAGACTGCGCTCTGGCACCACGAGATGCAGAGCCAACCTTCAGAAATGGGGCTACAAAGTGGAATCCACAACATGCGAGTGCGGAGAAGAGCAAACCACTGACCACCTGCTGCAATGCAACCTGAGCCCTGCCATATGCACCATGGAGGACCTTCTTGCAGCAACACCAGAAGCACTCCAAGGGGCCAGATACTGGTCGAAGGACATTTAATCAACTACCAAACTCACACATTTTGTATTTTCTCTGTTTGTTTGCTTTGTTCTGTTAGAAATGTAATATAATTGACTGGCTGCCCTGACACGAGAAATAAATAAACCTGACTGGGCCACAGCAACGCCTGGCAGGGGACTGCTAGTAAATAAATAAATAAACTTTGCTGCAATTGGCCAACTTATTAGCACTGAAAGGCCTTGCAGCTTCAAAGCCTGGCTGCTTCCTGCTCGGGAGAATCCTTTCTTGGGAGTTGTTTGGCACTACCGAGAAGACCCTGTCCCTCGTCCCCACCAAGTGTGTTTGAAACATGACCAGACAGCCTGGAAAACTCACAGCAACCCAGTGATTCCGGCCATGAAAGCCTTTGACAACAACCGCAGTACTACTCTTATCAACATGAAATCTTTTGAGACTTCCTTTGGAAAGACATCTGGAAATCTGACACTTATCATTCCTCATCAGCAATTTGATGGAGTTAGTTATCATCATTCTAATCAGCCTAACAACTTTGTCTGAGCAAGAATTAGGCCCAGGAAAAGGAGGGTGCAAATTGGAAGCTGGAAAGATTGTAATAACCCAAGTGATCTCAGAGCCCTCTACTTTAACTACTTCTTCCTCTAATGAAAAGCATTCACTACATTCCCGATGACAATGGCTCACTCTCCTTTTATTATATGCGCACGCCGTTTTGCGAGGATCCTGATAACTGGAGCTCGTTCAAGCAAAAGCAAGGGCTCTGGCCTCAAGCAGTGGCAATTCTTCCTGAGTTCACACCTCTCATGTTTCCCTTCCTTGACAAGCAATAAAATGGTCTAATTTTGGAGAAGAATGCAGGAAGCCTCTTAGCAGGTTCCATTCAGTCCGTCAACCAAAAAGGGGAAAAAAGCTCAGTCTCAGGGCGGCGTAAAACATTTAGCACACTTTACTAAGATGCTTCTCAAATGCGCCGCCATCACCTCAATCAATACGATTAAAGGACTCTCTCTGATGAAAGCAGAAGCCAATTGACTCCCGAGCCTTACCTCTGAGATGGTGGTTTTGCAGACTTCTCTGGCCACCGTTTCGAATTTCGGATCTGCAGTCAGGTTCAGCTTGTAGTTCCACAGCAGCTAAAGAGAAAGCGAAGAAAATTAAGTTTTTGTTCTTATGCTACCAAAGGCTTTCCTAATGATTTCAGGACATCATTGAAATAGCCATCCTCCATCATGAGGAGGATCTTAAAAATATTGGCTTTAGGGAAGAATGGGTGTGGCTCAACCTTTTGAGAAAGTTCCCTGCAAACTTATACCTAATCCTCGTGCCATGAATCAACTTTGGGAATATTACCATCCTACCAATTTTAGTGCTTTTAATATGATAGGAAAGGTAAAGGTTTCCCGTTGACATTGTTTCCACCTTGTCTCCTGTGCTATCCTAACAATATAATATAATGTAATATAATATAATATACTAGCTGTCCCCTGCCAGGCATTGCTGTGGCCCAGTCTGGTGATCTGGAAAATAAAGTAATGAGAAAGTGTTAGTTTCTAATATATGTAATGTCTTGATGCTTGTGGGTAAACAGTATTTCTTGTTGTTTCTTTGTCAGTATTGATGTGGAGATTGTCTGGTTTGCCTACTCTGGAATATGCAACATATCATAGTCCTTCTTTAAGGGTCCCTTTCAAATCTATGATACTATATCTGTGCGTGTGAGAATCATATCTATCTATCAATCTATCAATCTATCTATCTATATTTATGACTGGATGACTCTTTGTCAGGAGGGCTCTGATTACATTTTCTTGCCCTGATGAAGAGAGTTGGACTGGATGGCCTTAAGTATTTTCTGTTGGTCATGGGGGTTCTGTGTGGGAAGTTTGCCCCATTTCTGTCGTTTGTGGGTTTCAGAATGTTCTTTAATTGTAGTGACCTATAAATCCCAGTAACTACAAATCCCAAATGTCAAGGTCTACTTCCTCCAAACACCATCTGTGTTCATATTTGGGCATATGGAATATTCGTGCCAAGTTTGGTCCAGATCCATTATTGTTTGAGTCCACAGTGCTCTCTGGATGTGGGTGAACTATAATTCCCAAACTCAAGGTCAATGTCCACCAAACCTTTCCAGTTTTTTCTGTTGGTCATGGGAGCCCTGTGTGCTAAGGTTGGCCCAATTCCATCACTGGTGGAGTTCAGAATGCTCTTTGATTGTAGGTAAACTATAAATCCCAGCAACGACAATTCCCAAATGACAAAATCAATTTTTTTGAGTGGAGGACATAAATTGGACTGTTAGGTGTATCGTGTACAAATTTGGTGTCAATTCCCCCAGTGGTTTTTGAATTCTGATGGTAGCACAAACGAACATACATTTCTATTTATATAGATTGTACTAGCTGTACCCGCCATGTGTTGCTGTGGCCTAACTTCCCTCCCTCTTTCTCTCCTTCCTTTCCTCCCTCTTTTTCTTTCCCTTCTTCTTTCTTCCTTCTCTAGCTGTTTTTTTTTCCTCGCTTCCTTTGCTCTTTGGTTCCATCCTTCCTTGTTTCTTTCTTTCCTTCCTTTCTCTTTCTTTTGTTCCTTCTCTCCTTCCTTCCTTCTTTCACTTTTTTATTTCTTTCTCTCCTTCCTTCCTCCCTTCTCTTTCCTTTCTTTCTTTCTTTCTTTCTTTCTTTCTTTCTTTCTCTCCTTTCCCTCTTTCTCCCCCTCCTTCTCTTCTCTCCTTCCTTCCCCCTTTCTGTGTATATGTATATTGTGCATATATGTGTGTATATATTTGTGTACATGTGTATATGTGTGTTTGTGTATATAAGTGGTTTTGTACATGCATTGTAATGTATTTTGGGTTTTTTGCTTTTTAAGTTTCTTCTGCTGTATTTTTCAGTGTTTTTATGGGTGATGGACACTCGTTGACCTGATAGGTGTCATGTGTCCAAATTTGGTGTCAATTCATCCAGTGGTTTTTAAGTTATGTTAATCCCACAAACGAACATTACATTTTTATTTATATAAATATACATATAATATTTGTATATTATAATGTAATGCAATATAATACTACTAATAATATGATATTATAATTATTTTTATATTACATGTAGTATTACTAATAATATTACAATGCAATGGTATAGTACAATATAGTAATATTTAATACTGATATTGTACTATGCTAACAATATAATATTGTGTGTGTGTGTGTGTGTGTGTGTGTCTATCTATCTATCTATCTATCTATCTATCTATCTATCTATCTATCTATCTAGCCAGCCAGCCAGCCAGCCAGCCAGCCAGCCAGCCAGCCAGCCAGCCAGCCAGCCAGCCAGCCAGCCAGCCAGCCATCTCCCACGTCAACATACAGGGGTTAACATCTATCTATCTATCTATCTATCTATCTATCTATCTATCTATCTATCTATCTATCTATCTAGCTAGCTAGCTAGCTAGCTACAGCCAGCCAGCCAGCCAGCCAGCCAGCCAGCCAGCCAGCCATCTCCCACGTCAACATACAGGGGTTAACATCTATCTATCTATCTATCTATCTATCTATCTATCTATCTATCTATCTATCTATCTATCTATCTATCTAGCCAGCCAGCCAGCCAGCCAGCCAGCCAGCCAGCCAGCCAGCCAGCCAGCCAGCCAGCCATCTCCCACGTCAACATACAGGGGTTAACATCTATCTATATCTATCTATCTATCTATCTATCTATCTATCTATCTATCTATCTATCTTGTAAGCCGCTCTGAGTGCCCCTCAGGGTGAGGAGGGCGGCATATAAATGTCGTGAGTAAATAAATAAACAAATAAACAAAGTCTAGTCGTGTCCAACTCTGGGGGGGTTAGTGGTCATCTCTATTTCTAAACTTAAGAGCCGGCGTTGTCCATAGACACCTCCAAGGTCATGTGGTCAGCATGATTGCACAAAGCGCCATTACCTTCCATGCAAATGTGAGTAGATCAATAGAGAGTGAAAGCAGAGATATCGGGTGGGCAAGGGATGGATGTGTTGGCAGGCAAAAAGGCAAAAGGATGGGGCTGAGTTGCTTCCTTAAGATAACAGAAGAGGTTTGGGGCAAGTGGGACAATAGAGGCGCCATGATTGCTGATTCAGCTGAGAGTTAATTAAAAGTAATTGATTTGGTGCGAAATCTATTATTTATTGCATTTTTGCAGTGCCCAGCAGGAAGCTCTCCAGAGCCCTGCAAAATACACAGAGGCGGCAAAACTTTTGAAAGTTTAAAACAAAAGGAAAGGAAAACCAATATCCCAGAGGTGTGTGAGAGAGAGGGAGAAATCAAGAAACACTAACAGGAGAAAACAGCAAACTCTTAACGTGTTTTGCTTGTGCTCTTTAGGAATTAGCAAAACATTGCCAGGGTTGGAAGAAATTAATAGTAGTAGTAGTAATAATGATCACAGAACTGCAAAGACTCTGGCACAAGCCAGTCAGAGGGGTCCCAGTGGTGATGGGCACACTGGGTGCAGTGCCTAAATACCTCGGCCTGTACTTAAAAACAATAGGTGCTGACAAAATCACCATCTGTCAGCTGCAAAAGGCCACCCTACTAGAACATTAAGATCATTTGGAGAGGTCCTGCTCTCATTCCCGCCTACTTCACAGATGCGCCTGGTGGAGACGAGAGAGCCTTCTCAGTGGTGGCTCCTCGACTATGGAACACCCTCCTTTGGGATATCAGATTGGGCCCCCTCCATTTTAACATTCTGTAAAAACGTCAAAACTTGCCTTTTTGGACAAGCATTCAGAAATGCAGCGTAACAGGCAAATATAGAATAAAGGAACGATTGGATGATGTGATTGGACACTGATTTTAATAAGGAGACGCTATTGATATATGTTTTATATGTTTTTACTGGCTTTGTATGGTTTATTTATGTATTATATGGTAAATGTTTTTAACTGCATTTTATGGTATCTAGACATCGAATTGTTGCCAAATGTAAACTGCCCTGAATCGCCTTTGGGCTGAGAAAGGCGGTATACAAATATGGTAAATAAATACATAAATAAACAAACAAATATATCTCCACGCATTAATCACCAATATATCACACAGTCCCAGACACTTGGGAATCATAGAATCATAGAATCAAAGAGTTGGAGGAGACCTTCTGGGCCATCCAGTCCAACCCCCTGCCAAGAAGCAGGAATATTGCATTCAAATCACCCCTGCCAGATGGCCATCCAGCCTCTGTTTAAAAGCTTCCAAAGAAGGAGCCTCCACCACACTCTGGGGCAGAGAGTTCCACTGCTGAACGGCTCTCACAGTCAGGAAGTTCTTCCTCATGTTCAGATGGAATCTCCTTCTTGTAGTTTGAAGCCATTGTTCCGCGGCCTAGTCTCCAGGGAAGCAGAAAACAAGCTTGCTCCCTCCTCCCTGTGGCTTCCTCTCACATATTTATACATGGCTATCATATCTCCTCTCAGCCTTCTCTTCTTCAGGCTAAACATGCCCAGCTCTTAAGCCGCTCCTCATAGGGCTTGTTCTCCAGACCCTTGATCATTTTAGTCACCCGCCTCTGGACACATTCCAGCTTGTCAATATCTCTCTTGAATTGTGGTGCCCAGAATTGGACACAATATTCCAGGTGTGGTCTAACCAAAGCAGAATAGAGGGGTAGCATGACTTCCCTAGATCTAGACACTATGCTCTCTTGATGCAGGCCAAAATCCCATTGGCTTTTTTTGCCGCCACATCACATTGTTGGCTCATGTTTAACTTGTTGTCCATGAGGACTCCAAGATCTTTTTCACACATACTGCTGTCGAGCCATCGTCCCCCATTCTGTATCTTTGCATTTCGTTTTTTTTCTGCCAAAGTGGAGTATCTTGCATTTGTCACTGTTGAACTTCATTTTGTTAGTTTTGGCCCATCTCTCTAATCTGTCAAGATCGTTTTGAATCCTGCTCCTGTCCTCTGGAGTATTGGCTCTCCCTCCCAATTTGGTGTCGTCTGCAAACTTGATGATCCTGCCTTCTAACCCTTCATCTAAGTCATTAATAAAGATGTTGAACAGGACCGGGCCCAGGACGGAACCCGGTGGCACTCTGCTCGTCACTTCTTTCCAGGATGAAGAGGAGGCATTGGTGAGCACCCTCTGGGTTCGTCCATTTAACCAATTACAGATCCACCTCACCGTAGTTTTGCCTCGCCCACATTGGACTAGTTTCCTTGCTAGAAGGTCATGGGGGACCTTGTCAAAGAAGGCCTTCCTGAAATCCAGGTACGCTACATCCACGGCATCATTCCCTGCATCTATCCAGCTTATAACTCTATCGAAAAAAGAGATCAGATGAGTCTGGCATGACTTGTTTTTGATAAATCCATGTTGACTATTAGCGATGACCGCTTTTGTTTCTAAGTGTTTGCAGACCAATTCCTTAACAATCTTTTCCAGAATCTTGCCTGGTATCGACGTGAGGCTGACCGGACGGTAGTTGTTTGGGTCATCCTTTTTTCCCTTCTTGAAGATTGGGACCACATTGGCCCTCCTCCAATCTGCTGGAACTTCTCCCGTTCTCCAAGAACTCTCAAAGATGATTGCCAATGGTTCCGAAATGACTTCCACTAGTTCCTTCAATACTCTGGGGTGTAGTTGATCTGGCCCTGGGGACTTGAACTCATTGAGAGCGGCCAGGAAGTGTCTGACGTGACCAAATACCAAAGCCAGCATAGTGATCTTGTTTGCTGTGTACTCATCTTGTTATTAATCAAATAATATAATACAATAATAAATAACTTTCTTTGTTACCCACCTTTTCTTACGGCTCAAGACCAGGAAAAGAGGATCAGTTTGGGCAATAAATAAATTTCAGTGAATTGAGTTAAAGGTGGTTGAGATGTCAAGCTATCTTGCTTTCTGATGTATCTCCACCACTAAGCAGCACTAGCGGCATGCTGGGAAGACCACCAGTGCTATGCTACTATCCTCTTTGGTGCTGCATGTGGGAAACTGCGCGGCTCATTGACTAATTAGCTTCCTAGTGTAATTAAGGCACTCTCCAGTGGCTGCAGGACGCAAGGATCACACCATGGGGTGCGCAGTGCGCTGGAACATTGAATGCCTTTGTTAGGAATCAGCCTGTGTTTGTGTTTCAGAATCCTGATGTGGGAAATGATGGTGCCGAGGCTGAGGTATAAGATGGAGATGGTTCGGTCAATGGTTTTCAAGCAGACAATGACAGAGAGGCCCCAGTGCAAAGGGCAATTTCTCATGAGAATATTCCTGCTGGGCCTAGCAATGATAGTTCACTCCCTCTCTCTGTGAGCTCTCAAGATTTGGGTTTAGAAAACAATCTGATACCTGGGAATTTTAATGAGCAGCCAGATAAGGAGCTGAAGAATAGGGGGCTGGAGATTAGCCAGGATCAACAGCAAACTCAGTATTTACGCCGCTCTGAAAGACTTCGTCTGATAAGGGGAAAATGTGGGGGGAAGCGAAACCAATTCCTAAGTTTTGGGATAAAAGATTTGCCTCAAGGGGAAACCTGTTAGATCAGGCATCATTTGGAAACCAAGTTCATGTGCCATGGAAATACTGTTCAAGGGGTCTTGTTCCTGTGGAGGTTTTAGCCTTTTGGATTGTCTCCTAGATATGTCATCAGCTGGAGACCCCTCCCCCCAGGCACCAACTGCCGCTCTGGGCCAGAGTGAAGAGAAAGGGGGCCAGGAGACAGTTCCACCTTGTCTCCTCTGCTATTCTAATAATATATTATTTTATTTATTTTTATTTCGGTTACTTCTACCCCGCCCTTCTCACCCCGGAGGGGACTCAGGGCAGCTTACAAAGGCACAATTCGATGCCGGCATCAACATAACAATAGAATAAAAACAATATAGCAGCAATTAAACAATTAACAATCAGTTTCTGCATTACAACAATAAAACCAATAAAACCAGTTTCATCTAATTAATATAATATAATATATTGTATATACATATAATATTTATAATATTATAGTGTAATGCAATATAATACTACTACTAATAATAGTATTAAATTATAATTATCTATTTATATTACATATAATAAAAAGGAGCCCCCAGTGGCGCAGTGGGTTAAAGCACTGAACTGCTGAGCTTGTTGACCGAAAGGTTGCAGGTTCGATTCCGGGGAGCGGCATGAGCTTCCGCTGTTAGCCCTAGCTTCTGTCAACCTAGCAGTTCGAAAACATGCAAATGTGAGTAGATCAATAGGTACTGCTCCGGTGGGAAGGTAACGGTGCTCCATGCTGTCATGCCGGCCACATGACCTTGGAGGTGTCCATGGACAACGCTGGTTCTTTGGCTTAGAAATGGAGATGATCACCACACCCCAGAGTCAGACATGACTGGACCTAATGTCAGGGGACAACCTTTAACTTTTATTACATAAAATATTACTAATAATATTATGATATAGTGGTATGGTGCAATATAGCAATGTTTAATGCTGATATTGTACTATGCTAATAATATAATATATTGTATGTAATATATACCTTGTAAGTCGCTCTGAGTCCCCTTCGGGGTGAGAAGGACGGCATATAAACGTCATAAATAATTAAATAAATAAATAAATAAATAAATAAATAAATAGTCTTTGCATCTTGTGTGATTCCTGTCTGGATTAATGTTGTCTTGGATTGCTTTTATTACTTGTGTGAACATTGCTCTGTGTTACTGCTTTTTATGGACTTACTACTTTTTGGAACCTTCTTATTTTCTTACAAGCATTTATTTCTTCTGACTATTTACTAAGCTTCAATAAAAGGAGATTTGTTTCTTCACTCCTCGTGTGGTGTTTTAAAGTCAAAGGGCTTCTTCCTGACCTGGAGTGCAACAGCCTTCTGCTGGAAAGCACCACCTCCACTCTTTGCTTAGGTGGCCATGAAGAGGTTAAACAAAGCAAAGAAGAAGAGTTGTAACAGGAGCCCGGGAAAACGCTTCTTTCTTTGCCAAAAGCAAATGCGATAATGACCTCTAAAGAGAAAACCTCAAAGCCCCAGAAAAAAACAAAAAACAATAACACACTTACATGGTTGCAGTCCGATGAAATCTCATTGTCCGGCTGAAAGAGAAAAAAAGAGAGATAACGGCATTAATTTAGAGGAGGTCAGGATACGCTGCCTTCCTTCCACCCCAACAGACCAAGGCTATTGTTCCAGAATAATGAACATTATTGTATTAACCTTGCAAATCAGGCCACAAAAGTTAGCAAGCCCACGCTGGTCTACACTAATATCAAGGGATGGGTCCTGGACTCAAAGGCATTGGGGATGATGTTTCATACTAAGTTCGTTTATATACTTGCTTCTGTTCATAATGCATTATGGTCTGTACAAAATGGAGATTTGTTTAGCCAAAGAGAATACCCTCACTGCGGGAGAACATGCAGATCAAGAATAGGGCTCCACAGCCACCTACGGACCCACCGCCAGGATATTACACTTGGAGCAGGCCTGTAGCGAGGGGCTGGTTTTAAGGGTTCAACCCCCCCCCGAAATGTTTCAGATTTTTTTTAAAAACCAGGTTTACTCATGAATTTTAACTGGATAACCAAATCCCCATGCTAAGTCTATGAGATGCAAAAAATTAAGAGTCCCTCCAGAACTGTAAGCACTATCTCAAGCAAATATTGACAATTTATTCACACTGTCATTACTTGCAGCAATAGCCGATGTAGTGAAGCAACCAAGCAACTCATTAAGGAGGCCAGACTTGGTGGAGGTGGTTAACAGGGGTGGAGCTGCAGGCTATTGAAGGTTGCTCTGCCCCTGCTGTGCTCTTTGCTTCAGCGTGAGCTAGGAGGCAGGTTTCAACCCCCCCCCCCCCCGAAATTTTAAACCCTCCCCGAAATTATCAACCCCCCCCCCAAATTGTCAACCCTTCCCAAAAAAAATTTCTCGCTACGGCCCTGACTTGGAGGACCATCATCCTCTGACAATGAGGGATTGCCTAAGTAACTAAGTATGCTTGGGTACAAGGTTTTAATACAATAAATCTATATATATAAAATCGTAACGGTCGTCCATCGGCGTTCACAAGCGGAGAAACCACTGGACCAAATCTCACCAAATTTGCCCTTCAGATACCTCATCCCCCAAGGTATGACCAACAACCCTCCAAACACCGATACGCAACAACACAAATTCACAATACCCTAAAAACACGGAGCATGCGCAGAGGCCTCGGGAGGAATACGATGAGGAGGAAGGACTCCATTTCCTAACTTCCCCCGCTCCCAAGTCTCCCTCCACATGCGCACTGACGCCTGCCTGCCCTGAAGATTTCTATATTATAATTATTCTATATATATTACTTATAACAACAGTACAATTAAGGTATTATTTTACACACTCACATATATATATGAAGGAACACATCTCCATCCCAAATCAGTACTCTCTCCCTGGCCCACAGTGGAAGTAGGCCCAAACGTTTCCCAACGCTGGAACTCCATTTCCCAGCCGCCCCGGAGGCACTTCCGGTGAGCAGGTGGACGTGGCGGTGGCAGATCCGGCTGGACTCGGCTATTTCCGGAAGCGGTCCGGCGCTGAGCTCACTTCGCCGCCTCGCTCCGCCGCCTCGGCCTCAGCCTCGGGTCCCGCCCACCCGCTTACACTTATTTATTTATTTATTTTTTTCAAAGTTTTCTATACTGGCCTTCTCAACCTCGACGAGGGACTCAGGTCGGTTTACAGCATATATAAAGTACAATCATATAAAAAACAACAAGTGCAGATCATTACATATTAAAATAGTAGACTACAGTACAATAAAAACATCATCATTTCAGTTTCCTAAGCCAAATCGTCAATCTAGTCGTAGTCATAGTCATGCTCGTAGTCACAGTTCATCATAATTCATCACATGGAAAGGTTCTAGGTTCAGTCCTCGAATGCCACATTCCAGAGCCAGGCTTTTAGTAATTTCCTGAACGTCAGGAGGGAGGGGGCATATCTAACCTCTAATGGGAGGGAGTTCCAAAGCCGGGGAGCCACCACCAAGAAGGCCTTGTCTCTCGTCCCCACCAGCCATGATTGTGAGGGTGGTGGGACCGAGAGCAGCCCTCCCCTGGAAGATATTAATAGCCGCCGGTGGAGAAGGCCTGAGGCAGGATGGAGGCTGTGCTGCGGATGCTGATTATCTGGCCGGACCTCAAGGAGGCTGGGGACTTCGCCTTCCAGCCGGTCATCAAGAAGGTCAGGCCTGGAGGGAGTCGGGGAAGGCTCTCGCTGAGGGAAAAGCCCGGCGCGGAGAGAAAAATAGTCCCTGGGAGGGGGCGGGGAGGCAGGCTTCGAGGGCCTCATTGGGGGCAACAGACCTGGGAGGGAGAACCAGAGGGCATCCAGACCGACCCTCTCCCATCACCAAGGAAGCCGCCACAATAATAATGTTTACTAATAGCAACCTTCTTCCAGCCTCCACGAGTAATTAGTTTTGTATATGATTCTGTTTGCTTACTGTATGGTCTATGTATGTTTTGGTATGCAGCTTTCCCTTGAGTCTATGTTTCTGGAGGTTGTCCCTTCACCAGGGCAAGAAAACGTAATCAAAACCCTCCTGACAGAGAGCCATCCAGCCATAGATATAGATAGATATATAAGATTCACACACACAGAGATACAGTATTATAGATTTGAAAGGGACTCCTAAAGATGGACAATGATATGTTGCATGTTCCAGAGTAGGCAAACCAGAATATCTCTACGTCAACACTGTCAAAGAAACATCAAGAAATACTGTTTACTAGGCTTGGGCGGTTTCGTTCGTTAATTTCATAATTCGTTATTAATTCGTATTTAAATTAGCTTACAATCCAATATTGAGCCATGCAGGACTACTGTGATGAGTAATTAAAAATCGAAACAATTTTTCCAATTTATTTCGTAATTGTTTCATAATTGTTTCGAAATTGTTTCGTAATTATTTCCGTATGTCTGGTGCAAGTTTTATAGTTGTTGTTTAATTTATCAGTGATAAAAAATAAATTATCACACCAACAGTCAACAACAGAGGGAGAGGGAAGCTTCAGAAGTTCCCCCTGTCCCATTTGGAGGGTTTTTTAGCATATTGCGCAATCGCGCCCGCCATTAACAAATCGATTCGTAATTTTACGAAATTTCGTATATTTCGAACTTTTTTAAAGGAAAATTTCGGAATTCTTTAAAAAAATGAAACGCAAGGGCCCCCTAAAAACGAAACGAGTTTAGAACCAAATTTTTCCGCAGTTACCCAAGCCTAATAGATATATATGATTCACACACAGATACAGTATTATAGATTTGAAAGGGACTCCTAAAGATGGACAATGATATGTTGCATGTTCCAGAGTAGGCAAACCAGAATATCTCTACGTCAACACTGTCAAAAAAACATCAAGAAATACTGTTTACCCACAAGTATAAAGACATTACAGCACTTTCTAATTACTTTATTTTCCTTATCACCAGACTGGGCCACAGCAACGCGTGGCAGGGGACCGCTAGTATAATTATAATTACATTTAACTACTCAGCCCCCATAACTGTCTACGTTGTACAATGAGGCAAATGAGTACAGTATCTACACTGACAAAGAAACACATTCCATGCATATTTTGGTATCAATAAGGTGTTTCTGAAATAAAAATAGGAATGCATTGCTCTCCAGATGTGGCTAAATGTGAACGGACAATCCTTTGCCATTGACAGCAAATGCAGCTCAGCAACATCTGGACAATATATGTTCCCCGCTGCTGTTCTTAATAAACTTGCACTGTTTTATTATTTTGAAAGTTGTGGGAGGCAAATAGACACACACACACACACATACATACACAAAGCTATTTTGTTTAGTGCTCATAGGAAAGAAATAAAACCCACTGGGGAAGGACAGCAAGGCAAGCTTTATAAAGCTTTCCAGTGAAATCTGTCTCCCAACAAAGAGGATGTGGGATTTGCAAGAAAGGAGTCCGCTTCTTCAAAAAGGACTCGCCGCAGGTTTATTGAAGCACAGCTAGTGGGTAAAACCAAAGCGTGGCCGTAATTCACAGCGGTCCCACCGCCCTGCCCAAAGCAGCAGCAGAACATAAAAGTTTAACCAGCGCATACTGCCACGCTCAGCTTTTAACAAACAGCGGCGTCATTTCATTTGTGCCACAACTTTGGGGCTCGTACACCAAATCCTGACAACTCAGGATATCTACATTTAGCCCACAGCTATTGTTCACGGGTCTAAGGACAGGTCTGGGAGAATATATTTAGAATTTGCAGAACACCTGCGTCAGCAGTTGAGGAGCATGAGCAACCAAGCACCAAGCGCTAGGACTTCCCAGTTAGCCATGGCTCCATCTTGCTTCAGAGATATGGGAATAGGGTGGAAAAAGGCGCCACTAACGGAGCATTTGGAATCATTCTGCAGCATGACTCAAACCTGGTTAATGTAGAATGGTGAAGGATGAGCTGCTGGGGATGTGGGGCTGTGCAGTTTTCAGCTACAAATTTTAATTATATTTCAATTATGCATGGTTTATGACACAAAGATGTAATTATTTGTTTAATATTCTATTCATATTTACATGCATTTCCTTTGTTTTTAACCTATATTATATTTTCTTTGATGTTGCCCAACTTGAACTTTGATGTTGCCCAACTACACAGGGATACAAAAAAAAGTAAAGAAGTAGAAAATAATCAAACAAAACTTTTGTTTGCCCATATATTGAAACAGTAGCCGTCCCCTGCCACGCATTGCTGTGGCTCAGTCTGTGTATGAGTTTTGTGTGTTTATATATGTATATTTGAGTGTGTGTCTATATATATATGTGTGTGTGTGGGTGTGGGTGTATATATGTGTGTATATATTTGTGTATTTATATGTGTACATGCATATTGTGTATATGTGTATGCTTGTCTATATGCATATATGTGTGTATGTATGTGTATATGTGTGTGCATGTGTATATATGTATGTGTGCATGTCTATATGTGTGTGTATGTAAGAAAAAAAAGGTAAAGGTAGTCCCCTGACATTAAGTCCAGTCATGTCTGACTCTGGGGTGTGGTGCTCATCTCCATTTCTAAGCCG